CCAAAAAAAAAGAGGTGGGAGAGAAGGCTGGGTAAAGTAGCAAGGAGAAGGGGAAAAAAAATTCCAGCATGAACCGACAATAGACAAGACAGAGAAGAAAAAAAAAAGGCCAAGGGAAACCAAACTCATTTTCCATAAACCACAAAAAAAAGGGGTGGGGGTATCAGGCGAACCAACATCAAAAAAACAACACAACATAACACACACTCCCGCGAAATATCCCAAAAAAATCTCAGGGAAAAAAAAGAGAGGGTGTCTCAAAAAAGAGTCCTCGTGCCGCCCCCTCTCTTTCACAATCCCCACACACATGCCCAACATTTTTCAAATCTCATCCCACGGAAAATCTTGCGGATCAATCCTCGTACAAGTAAGATACGGCAGTCCGCCCTCCCTAAGATCCAGCTCGAGGAAATTGCGCATAAGCGGCTTAACGATATCCTTTGCCTTGTTCTTAATCTCATCGATGCGGCGCTCGAGGCGCTTTAGGTTGTCGCGATTGTAGTGTTCGGGGTTGAGGCGGAGAAAGCGCTTGCATTCGTCGTGGTTGAGGTAGCTGGAGCCTGCTTGGCCGAGGAGACGGAAGATGCGGCCTGTGTTGAAGATTGGGGGTGGAGGGAGGGGCGCGGATTCGCCTCGGGGACCTTGGGGCCGTGGAGATTTGAGAATGGGGGCTGGAGGTGGGGTTGTGTTTTCGGCGAGCCATTGGCGGAAGAGGGAGACGGCGATCCAGTCGAGCCAGTTGCTCGAGGGGCTGACGCGCTCGCCGCGGCTGGTGGTGAGGGAGAGGCGGAAGAGTTTGACTTCGATCTTTGCTTTGAGTTCGTCCATTTCGTCCACTTTGTCTTCGATCAGTTCAATGACTGGCTCGGCAATTTGGCCACGCAATTGGTTAATGCCCTGCGGCCACTGTCCGACCACGTGGACCATGGCCTCTGCGAAAATTGCCTTGCTCCGCGCCATGTAACCCAGTTTTAGGTAGCTGGGTGGGTACTTTGCTATCTGTTTCCATAATCGGCCCTGGAAGCGGAGGAGGTGGTGGTCGACGCGCGGGCCAATTACACCAAGTGCATCGTACATGTCGGCTAGCTGCAGGAGAGATTTGCACTCGACATAGGCAGTGGCAATGTTGATGGTGTCGAGCGAGGGCGGGTAGTTGTAGAAGATGCGGAACAGGTTGTCGTAGTCTCGGAAAGTGTCATCGTCGGGATCGAGCTCAGGAGGTGCGGAGGGTACGTTGACGGTGGAAAAGTTGGCTACACTGCGGAAGAAGCCTGAGTGCGGGGCGGCGGGCTTATTGTTTCGTGCTGGTGGCGGCTGTGTGGATGTGCTTGGGTCGCCGCCAAACATGGTGGAGGGTTGGTTCTTCTGGAACATGTCAGCGGGTGCTTGTACGCGCGTCTATGGGAGGCAAGGTACCTTTTGGACCAGCATAGGCACGTCATCGTCGCTGTTTCCCCAATCGAGCTCATACCTCCATTTCCTCTTTTGCTCTGGCCGCGAGCCAGAGGGTATTCTGGCCAGGGCGGTGCCGTTTGTCGGGCCTGCGCTGGTCACGTCTCCGGCAGTGGCCCACTCATCGCTCGTGCCAGCCTCAAAGAAACCAGAGCACTGGGTGAGGATGAGCTTGTGCAGCAGATAGCGCTGTTCCTTGCGTCCGTTGCTGATGATGATTTCGACGTCGCCGGTGTGGGTGAAGACAGGGAACTCATTTTGCGACACAATGGACGAGCCCCCGAAGTTGGACCGGGTCTGGCGATGTCTGCGGACCGTGGACGCGCGAGAGGAATGCGATGCGACAGAGGACGGGCGCCGGATGGGCAATGAGCGCTCGGCACTCGCGGAGTCTGGATAGGAAACCATGCGCCGCGACTGGTGGTGTGTTGCTGGGGACGGGGTCGCGGGCTGTGAGGGTGCTGGCTGGGGAGCGGGTGAAGGGGGCGTGGTCTGGCGGAATATTGCGCTCCAGCAGGTTTGCGACGGGTCCGAGGTGGCTGGTCGCAGGCAGACTGCAGGCGTGGCGGCGGGCTGGGCGACGGCAGCAGCAGCAGCAGCAGCAGCAGCAACGGCTGTGCGGGTTGCGTTGTTTGCACGCGGCGGTGCAACGATGCAACGATGCAGCAGCGTGGTCGAGTGCAGACGGGCGGGCTGGTGGTTTGTTGATGCGAGGCTGGAGGCTGGGCTGAGCAGAGGCGGGCCGCTAAAACCACCCCACCTCCAAGGACAATGGCGCGCAGGGGAGACCAAGACAAGACGGTGGCCAGGAGCAACGCCTTTCAGCTCGACAAGGGCAGCGCTGCGGGTCGGCGGCAGTGGTGAGGTTGGTTTCAGACAGACAGACCAGCCGCTGTCGCTGTGGCCGTGGCCGTGGCAACTGTTCACATGGCTTCTTCTGCACTGCACTCGGCCCATGCCCTGGCACAGCGCTGCTTGCGAGGGCTGTGCGCCAATCGCCTCGCATTGCCGGGCCAAGCGCTGGGTGAGCCTCGACGGCCACCAGCTGGGATACCGCGGCAAATGCAGGGCGATGGCTACACGCTGCTATGGGCTTTCAACAACTGCGATGCAGGGGGGGCAGGGTCATGGGCACTTGGGTCCGCTTGTTGTGGCGGCATCCAATCGTCAACTTGATAGTATACATGCACTGATACAGCCGTACTATGGTGCAACAAGAAGCACCTCTGCCCACGTTGCCACACTCGCTGGCGACGGAACGGAACCCACCAGCAAAACTAGGCCTGTGCCCCAATCTTTGCCTGTCCGCCCATAAAGGGTCGCAGCACCTCTGGTATCGTCACAGTGCGCTCCTGTTCGTTCCAGTGGTTCTCCAGCATCGCCGCGAGCACCCGCGGCACAGCAAGCGCAGTTCCGTTGACCGTGTACGGGAACTCCAGCCTGCCCTTGACGCGCACCCGTGTCTGCAGTCGACGGCTCTGGTAATCCGTGCACATTGAAGTCGACGTCACCTCGCCCCAGCCTTGGTCCTTTTCTCGTCGTGAGGGGAAGAAGGCTTCAATGTCCAGCTTCCGCGTAGCGCTCGCCCCGAGATCTGTAGTCGGCATCTCCAAGATGCGACACTGCAGCCCCAGCGCCTCCAATATCTCCTTCTGTATCCTCAGCATCTCGTCAAAGACTGCTTCGGCACTCGATGCTGGCTGGCCGGCAAAGTAGTCTTCGCCCGCGTGGTCAGGCAGTGTCCAAGCAAACATCTCAACCTTTGTGAACTCGTGAACGCGGTACAGGCCTTTGGTGTTGGCCCCTCTTGCCCCCGCCTCGGCACGGTAGCATCTACTGACGCCCACCGTCTTGAGTGGTAGCTCTGCTTGTTCAAACTTGTGGTTTGCATACATGCCCGCGAGCGGTATCTCGGCCGTGCCAGCAAGGGCTAACTGGGGCTTCGCTTTGTCCTTTTCAGACTGCTCAATCGCATAGATTTGCTGCTCGCCGTTCTGGTCTCGCGGCTGGAACCCGCATGCGGCTGCAATGTGCGAGTAGACAATCGAAGGAGGCGCCACTGCTTTCCACCCTTTGTTCCGCGCCACGCTCAGAGCGTATTGTACCAGGGCCTGTTCCAGCATTGCTCCATCCCCGACAAGAAAGTACCACCCCCATCCCGACGTTTGCGACGAGCCCGAGAAGTCGAGGATGCCCAGTTCTTGTCCAATGTCTACGTGTGACTTTCGAGACTGGGATTGCAGCGGCTCGCTCTCCGACTGCGCATTGATGTAGCCAACTACTTCAAAATCCGTGCCGACTGGAGTGTGCGTGCTGCTCAAGTTGGGAAGGGCCTGCGCTAGAGCTTCAATCTCATCCTGTATCTGCGTTTCCTGAGCTTCAATAGAGCTCAACTCCTCCTTGAGAGCTTTGGCGTCTGCAATAGTTCCTTTCTGCAACGCAGCCGACTGCCCATCGCCGCTCTTGGCTTGCACCGCTGCCCTTGCAAGTTTGGCTCGCAGCTGGTTGTTGCGCTCCCGCAAGCTACGACTGCTCTGCTGCAAGGCAAGCCACTGCTCATGTAGTTCTATGATGCGCCATGATGATTTGCTATGCGCCCCATAGTTGCGATCTATACAATTCTGCTCGTAGAGGCCTGGGTTCTGTCGGATGTGCTTGATGTCGATTGTAGGCTTGGGTGCGAATGCGGGTTGAGCATAATCTCGGCGCGATGATAGCACGGCTGGGCGGAGCAATTTTGTTGGCTTGGCTGTACACTCTGTGAGCGAGTGTCGAAAAGCTCTCATTGTCGCAGCATCTGGAGAGTGGAATTGTGCTCTTCGTCCCACCTTTGCAAAGTCGGAACTTTTGGTGGAGGCACCGTGATCCCTGCACCCTGTCGCGTATGAACTTCGCGTTCCCCGCAATCGCTTATCGGCATTGCTGCTGTTACACGCGTAGCCTTTCTTACGTGTATTTACTTTTTTTTGTGAGCAATGAATATCATATGCAGCAAAGGGCCTTGATGGGACAGAAATACGATGATACGGCGCAACTCTATGCTCCATACTTTATCGGGATCGACAGCCAATCCATCATTTATCGACTTGAGCAATGCCTTGAGCTATATAAAGAGTCCAGCTCCATGTTAGTAGCAAACCGGAATCTGCTTGCTCCCAAGCCACCAAGATCGATGCTCACAGAATCACCATGTGAGAAGAGTCAGCAGGTACTACTCTTAAGGGAGTTTGCGGCGCGTAGTGATGGGAAGAAGGGCGAAGAAGAGGGACGCGCGTTGAGGTAGGCGAACCATCGCAAAGACATTGTGGACGCTGCGATGGAGAGAGAGGACACAACTCACATATATACAAGCAAAGAAGTAGCAAATAATTTCAAGTAGAATAGCACATTAAACCCTTCTAAAACTGTCCTTCATGATCATGCACTCGTGCTTCATGGCTTCTCGTACTCGGTGAGGCAGAGAAGCTGTAGCTGCTTTCGTTGTTGGGAGTGACGTGTATGCGGATGGGACTTGCAAGCCAGGATTGGAGGACTGGCCCGATTTTTTTCTGGTGGGATTGGATGGCGTACGGAGTTTGCTATGAAGCGGAAATAGGGCTTCAGAATACTACCATTACTACTGCTATCCGTGCTGTTGAGGTAAACGATGCCGAGGTCCACATGCTGGTCTTGGTTCAAAAAAAGTTCGACACGCCCAGTTCATCGCCTGCTGACTTGCCAAAGTTGGGGTGCAGGTCGACGGTATGGTTGAAGAAAGTGTGCTCCTGCCGCCGGAACATGGCGGAGAGGCCTTCTCGGGAGGCATTGAATTGCGCATCAGCTGTGTGATTCGCTCCTGCGGACAAAATTTGAAGTGTGTTCGGGTGCCCTTTGGGTGATATCTGGAAGGCTGAACTGTTGAAGGGAGCGCGACAGCGATGTTCAAACCCTTGCTGGGTGTCAAGGAGATTCGCTTTGGTAGTGGTCCTTGCATCTTTCCACGCACCTGGTCAGTGTACGGCCAACCCTTGCTTGGTCATGAGACGGGGAATAGCACCGTCTTTCTGCCCATTGGCAAAATAGACTGATTGTACAGAGCTGGATCTCCTCTTATGGATAAAGCGACTCCCTACCACTTCTTTTCTCCGTCCTGAAATACATAGGTCTGCGTGCCCTACGGTTTTGGAAATATTCATTGGTTGGGCTATTAGAGACCAGGGGATTATTAGGTGAAGCTTCCCAAGGGCCCTTCAAACTCCTTGAGCGCACCATACTCGCTCGGTGCCCAAGTTGAGTACTTCCTTCTGCAATCAATAGATAGTAGTAGCCATCCTTCTTAAATATTTGAAGTCCTTCCGCACTGGCACCACCCGTGCCATTCCACAACGGCCATGGTTGATTCGTATTCCCAGTAGCCGTGTCCAAATAGCAAGCTTGAATCGGACTCCCCGAAAACTCAACTACTTCGGTACCGCCGTCATCAAAGAAGATATCCGGGTCAATCGTGAAACCAGGTGTTTGAAGGAACAAAGTAATCACTCCATGACCTGTCGTCGAAAGGGTCGGTTGCCGTGCTCAGAACAAAGCGAGGCACGCCAAACGCGGGATTGATCCATGCCAAGATGAGATAGAATTTTCCCTTGTGATAACGCAAAGTGTTGGCAAACATGCCCGCGAATTGCTCATTTGTTGCAGCTTGAACTTCGGGTAGCTGGGCCACCCGGCTAAGAGCATTACTTGCAAGCCTCCAGTCGGTCAGGTTCTGACTGGCGTATACCGAGTTGCCGGGAAACGCCATGAAACCTGATGTGGTGCAGAAAAAGGTATTGTCGAACTCAGGGACAAAGACGCAGCTGGGGATCGCTGTGCCACCCAGGTAGTATTGGATTATTGTACGTGACATTCTTGCTTCTAACAGTACCCAACAGCACTGCAAGAGATACGATCTCTTTTAGCATAAACACTTTCATGGTTGATTGGAATATTAGTGGCGATGCCTAGTCTTGCAATTTGTAGACATTACACGCCTATACAGAGACCGAAAAAAAACAAGACTTTACGGAATGTGGAGAGACTGTGCAGCGTTTAAAGTTACTTTAATTATTTCTCCGCTACGTACACTGTCGGGATGCGAAGCACAGACAAGAACAAAACGCGGCCAGACTCGTGCGGGCAGATTAGCGTGGCAAGTCTAAAGGACCATACTGCGTAGTCAGTGCGTGCAACATGGAGTAGTAGAGATGGGTCTCCACCTCAGGATCTCAAAAACACGATCATCTCTGCTAATGCTACCCCAAATGAGAAGCCTAGTAGCCTATTTTCAACCTTTTTTGATTTTCAACATTGTCTACAGGACAGAAGAAACATGCAATGTTTCTTTTGTTCTGTTACACATTGATCGGATGCTTTTTATGAAAGACATTAGCAGGATCATACTTCATCTTGAGTTGCTTTAAGCGAGGAAAATTGTCCTTGTACATGTATTCGCCGGTGAACTCTGGCAGCACGCCCGCATTCGGGTAGACGAGGCCTTTGATGACATCTTTGCCAGCAGCATCACGATGCTTTTCGCGCAATAATTCAACCATGTCCTTGGAAGCCGCCACGGCAGCAGAAGTTTCTTCTTCGTCGTCATATCTGTTCCGTAAGAAGAAGAAAAATTGGAGATTAGCTTTCCGTTGCTTGGTAACTTGAAGGACAAAGGGAAACGAATAAAGGGGAAAACATACCCAAGGTAGATGGCAACGTCTTTCCAGAGCCGGTCACCATCTCCTGGTCGCTCGCGTGATGGCGGCCAGGCAGAAGTCTTGTCACTAACCGGCTTTAGGGTTTTGCGCCAGCTGTACATGCCCAGGAAGAGGGAACTTCCTGGTCTTCTTTCGGGTTTGGCCGAGTACCATTGGCGTAGACGGTCCACAACAGGGAGAAAGACGTCTGGCCCGACTCGACTCACCAGTGTACCGTTTGACAAGCGGCGAGTATACGGCCAGAGCGCATCGGGATATAGGTCCGCAGTCTCGTGAAACCACATGAGCCTAGTGTCATCCTTGATATAGGGAATGCTGAAGAAAACATCGAATCGCCTGCGAGCCTCGGCGACGTCGTCCCCGTGGTAGTATGGCATCAAGATGATAGTCTCCGGAGGTCCATTCGGATTGTGGGGTAGCAAGACCATGAAAACCATGTCTTCATCCGTCTGTGTAGCGTCGTACTTATCGAGTGCTTTGAGGACAGCCTCGATCTGTTCGACCGGGTAGGTAAGCGATCCAAAGAAGACCTTTGTCGTCAAAGGGATAGCGCGGAATGTGAGCTGCGTCACGACACCGAAATTATACCCCGCTCCTTTGAGTCCCCAAAACAGCTCGGGGTGAGAAGTTTCGGACACGTCGATGATGTCTCCGCTGGCGAGGACGAGCCGTGCCGAGATCAGGTTGTCAACGGCCAAGCCCCAAACTCCCATGCCCCATCCAGCGCCCGTGCCGAGCGCAAAGCCGGCATATCCAATCTCTTTGTGAGACGGGAGGGAGACAAAGACGCCGCTTTCTTCGCAGGCCCGGGCAATGTCGCTGACCAGGGTACCTCCTTCCATAGTCACTGTTCCGGGGCTGCCGTATCCCGAGTTCGTCACGTACACCGTGTTCATGCGTCTTAGGTCAATGATCACCCCGTCCGAACTGGATGCTCCAACAAACGAGTGACCTCCAACATTGACGGCAATTTCGAGTTGCTGCCCAACAGCGTATTTTACAGCTGCAGACACGTCTGCCTCCGTGAGAGGCTGAAAGATTACCTTGGGGTTGCCTTCCTCATTGATTGACCACCGGCGTCGAAACAACGAGTAAAGTTGGTCATGAGGTTCGATGATCACTGGCCGGATGTGAGCAGGGGAATGAAGAGGTTTGCAGGGCTGGGAAAGGGCTTACGGCCTCGAAAATTGTTGCGAAGGTTATCCAAGGTAGTTGACATCTTGCTTTAGTTGCTTGCTTCGGGACACGCGTTTATATTCTTGCAATAGATGGCTCGGTATGGTACGGATGAAGCTTATTGACCAGATACTGATTCGCGGTTTACGACTTTTATAAGTCTTCTCGTCTACTCCATGTTTAGTCCGTGGGATACACTGAACTCTGGGCGAGGAATTGCTTCCGGTCGGAACGTGTTGAGTTCCTACAGTGGAGCCATTAGGTCTTGACTATTGCGAGCGTCCTTCTTACGGCCATGATCCGGCAATGATGGTCGTAAGCAAGAGCCCCTCGCAACCATCGCCATTGTGAGGTACTATTCTATACGACCACCGGAAAACTGGAGGTAGTGTAGGTCCACTAGCGCCCTAGATAGTGGAGACTAGCGGATATTTCCGATCAATGCTGCAATGCGGAACTCCAAACTCAGTCGAGAACTCTTACTTGTCGGAAATTTCCGTGTGATTTGCCTCTGATCAACAGCTCCTGTCTACCCTGCGTAAATATCTCCCCCGGACGAAACGGGACCCGCAGGCGTTGTTTTGGGCATGCACTTTGGCTCCGCGCTGCAGGGCCTCGATAAAGTACCTCCTGGCTCGTCGACGCAAAGCCTCTGGAAGGGAACGCTGATGTGTCTGGGGCACCGTAGCTGGATTTGTTCAAAGATGACCTCGGACAGATGGCCCTAACCGATCATGTACACACAGTTCTCGTCTAGGGGCGGTCAATATGGCAACTCCACTCCCGTTTATAGTAGCTGTCCGGCCTTTTCCCTCGGCTCGCACAGCACGTAGGCCTCGCCATGTACCAGACGCCAACTTGGTCCGTAGAGGTTCTGGTACGCGCGTTTTGCGACTGATTCTAGTAAGCTGATCGTTTTCAATTGCTTATTCACTGCCAGCATAAACATGATTGCGCAAGGCTCCTTTAGGCTCTCCTTGTGTTTCTTGATAACGATAGTCGAGATGCTAGAACAAGTCCAAAAGGTCTCTTGACAGCTCCCGGTTCATTGTCTGATGATATCTGTCCACCTGATCTAGCACAAACTCATCCGACGCAGGCCATCTGTAAGGCTCCTGCAATGTATCGAACATAGTCGTCAAGTCACTGGTGAGTTGGTACGGATCAATCGTCTCGTTCGTAGAAGGCTGCCCCATTTGAGAGTAAATGGGTGGCTGCCGCATTTGGACGTGCTGATCTTGTTCCATTGATACGAAACTTGAAGACGGTAGAGTGGCATCATTGCTATTCAGTGTGCCATTCTGCGTACCATCTGTCTGGGTTTTGTTGGTCAGCAGACCCAGACTCAGGCTAATCTCTTTGAGGTGCTGAACCCGTTTCCAGAGCCTCTTTCCCACTTGAGACTCGAAAGAGAATCCCTGAATGAGCTCAAGTGCGACTACAAATTCTTCACGACAAGCGTTTTTGAATTGGTATGGGGCGTGGCAAACGGCTAGGAAAAGGACTGCCAGTGCGGAGACGAGGAAGTGATTGAATGGAGCTTGCTGTGTCGAATAAACGTCTGCCATTTGGCTCACTTTTTGCAGCAGCCGAATATTGCCTTTTGCTGCTTCAACAGCAAACCTGGCATTCGGCAGGTCCTCGTTCATAGTGTGGTAATTTAAAAGTTCCTGGCGGAAGATGAAAAGTTGAAGCTGGTTGACGCTGAAGTAAAACAGTAAACGGATCCCGTTCTCGCTCCGAGTGTGTCCATGCAGCATGTTCGCTTCGGTGGGTTGCAGTTGATACTGGGGCTTGAGACTTCGATACCATTGCTGCACGCGGAAGTAGAGGAAGGACAGCTTCTCTGAAGTGGCTTTGGCCGTGATCTTGGTTGTCAACTTCCATACCCTCGTTTCTAGTTGCGCGTATGCCACCATGATTGAGAGGAGATATGAGTCCGAGCTGCTCTAGAATTAAGACTAAGATTGAGCTGCACTGTTCATGTCACATGATTGAGGGGTGGCAAGACGATGTACTTACCAGTTTGGGAAGATCCAGATCTATATCACACTCGGGAATGGCGAACGAGCGTCCAGTGCCAAAGCTCCATCGCCTGTCAAGTATGTATATAGACCAAAAGAGTTGACTGGCTCGCAGGCGTTGCTCGTCGGAGAAGCGCAGCGAGTAAGTCTCACGTCGGTGGAGGCCTAGTTCGATGGCGGCTCTGCCAGCGAGACCAATGGTTCTCCAAGCGAGGACCTCCTCATCCAAGTGGAATTGCAAGATGCTCTCCAAATGGTCAGAATAACAGCCCATGCATGGGAGGATAGAAACAAACGTACCATAGCAGTCCATGCCTGTATCTCGAGAATCTCAACTTTCTCTCCCAAGACGCGAATGTCAAAGCCGGATTCAACGCTCTTGAGAAGGCTTGCACTCAATGCATTAGGCCCATGACTCTCTATGGCTGCAGCGATGGCAATGATTAGCTTCAGGACGTCCCATATGCCATCGGAGAGGGTATTCTCATCCTTTTGGTAGATTTTGGTAGACGAGGGAGATTCCATGTCGACACAATCGTAAAAGCATTGAGCCGCGCGGTGCAAGACTGTCTTGTCGACGAACGGATAGATTGACCCGTACTCTTCATCGTAGACTTGTAACAATCGCAGCGCTTCATTCCGAGGGATGGTACACAGTGGGTTTTCAACACCACGATTGGCGGGGCTCGCATCTTGGTATTTGACCTTGGCCGATGTTGGGTGAGGTTCTACGTCGAGTCTTGTACACACTGGGATATCTATTCCAGCGCTTGCCAAGGAATCCGTCGCCATTCGGAGGAGGAACGATGAACTGGTGGGACCAAGGAATTCGGGCAGTCTCGCTTGTGAAGTGGCAGATGAGGTGGCCGATGCTCCATTGTGGTCCAACTGATCTGTCCAGTTGGTGGTGTTTAGGCTTGGGGAGGGTTGTTTGCCTGATGAATTGGACGGGAGTCTGTCTGCAATAAGGCGATCAATTTGCTCTTGCATTTTCTCAATCTTATCATTCAAAGCGTCAAAATCTCTGAAGGAGGTCAGAGCCGTACATGCAGCATGACAGATGCAATGGGCGGATGATAATACGTGCCTTTCCTTGTGCAAAGACACGGCGGCTACCCTCGAGTTGTAAGAGCAGGTGACAGCCCTGTCGCGGCAGCGTTGGCATGGGAGTTGGCTGTCGCATTTACCCTTGCGCTTCTTGCATTCATCGCTATGGGGGGAGGGTTAGCAGATGATTGGGCTGTGATGACAGCAACGAGGTCGGATGCGCACCAGGCCACGGGCGTGTATCTTTTGCGTTTCCCGCGCGGAGTTGGCGACACGGTCGGGGGTTTGAGGCTGCCCGACTCGTTGGACTCATCCGGCTGGAGGTCGGCCATGGCCAGGCGATTCAACAGGCAAAGGAACGACGTCAACGGTGTCGAACATTCGGAGAAGGAGACACCATGGAGGTTGGAACTCAGAAGCACACAAGTCGCGCTGCATTGAATGCGGATCTGGACAAGTCTCGTGTACTTACTAGTGAAACTGGGGCCTCGGCTGTTACTACTACTACGTGTACGTAGAGAGCGCTACTACTTTAGTTAGGATACGTGCGGCCTTGTAGTGCTGTGACGGGGGTCTAGCGGTCTCCCCTACACAGTGATGCCTCGGAGAAGCAGCCAAGGGATCCCTTCTTGCGGGGGCTACTATAGTACTGTAAGTATAGCCGCCCGATCTTGGTACGACGACTGATTTCCTACTGGATCCAACACGTTGGCTGTTTCCAAGCCGTTGCAGTCAGTACCAACAGCGAGGACCGTGTCCAGCATACGTATCTGCTTATGTACTCCAGACAGAATCTGCAACCAACGAGTCACACGCTTGACTCGTTCTCTGTCGGATGGGAGTGAGTTTGCACGTGGACTAGGCACACGAGAAGCACGGCGTCAGCTGATTGCGCGTCTTACCGTACAGCGGGATGCTGGCCGGGATGAGCAGAGCACTACTTATACTGCGGATAGCGTACAAGCAGGCGTGTACAAACTCTACAACGCTGGGTTGTAAACGCGCTCGTTCAATAAGCCCTGGGTAGACTACTATGCTCGGGTGCTCCCTTGGCGACCCTGGGACGGACGTATGCGAAGGTATGCAGACATGTATTGAGCCTCGTGTGGCCGTGCACCGCTTGTGTACAGAATTAATACAGAACATGGGTTAGAATGACACGGTCCCATGGCCATGTCTACCTTTGTTGCTACTCCCAAGTCACCATCCACACAATGTCCCACACATGGTTGCAATGTGTCGTGTGCCTTTGGCGCGGCGTGAGCAGCCCTCTGCATCCGGCGACTCGCTAATCGCACCTCGGCCTAGGTCCTTGGAACCAGGGCAGGGCGGCGCTGTGCCCTGCGCAGTCGTCATTCGCAACCCTCGACACGCATCCTCAAGACAAGTGTTTCCATGACTGCGCCCCTGTGAACTCGCCCATTCTGCCCGACGGCATAAAGACTGCATCCCACCCCGCCACACTCACTGCTTCCTGAAGTGTCCTGGCCCCCATTGCACCTACTCTGCGTGCGCCCCCCAGGCGCCCTTACATCACTCCCTCCTCCACCTAGCCCGCCCCACGCTTCACCTCCACCTCCTCCTCCACGGCCATCTCTCTACCATCATGCACGATCCATTCCCCATCGCGCGGCCTGAGAGCCTCGTCAAGTATGTCCAGCCCGTGGCTGACTACCTATCTCTCAACACGCTGCCCCTGCACTTCCACGAGGTTGTTGCTGCCTATGTCCTGTACGACGTCACCTACCGCTTCATTGCCCCGGCCTTTTCGCGCATCTTTTTCCCTCGCGTATATGCCACCTTCAACGCTCGCACAAAGCTAAACTGGGATGTCCACATCGTGTCGTTTGTCCAGAGCACCCTCATCTGCAGCCTAGCCCTGTGGGTCATATGGACAGACAAGGAGTTGAATAGCATGGACAGGATAGAACGTGTGCATGGATATACGGGTGCGTCTGGCTTGGTCCAGGCATTCGCCGGGGGCTACTTCCTGTGGGACTTGGTCATCACGGTCCAGAATGTCAAGATCTTTGGAATCGGCATGCTGTTTCATGCCATCTCTGCTCTCTGCGTCTTCTCGCTTGGTTTCGTAAGTACTCGACCCAGATATTTGAAAGCAAATCACTCATCGTTTGCACAGCGTCCATTCGTAAACTACTATGCGTGCACTTTTATCCTCTACGAACTCTCCTCGCCCTTCCTCAACATCCACTGGTTTTGCGACAAACTCAACATGACTGGTAGCACCGTCCAGTTCGTCAACGGCCTAATGCTACTCTTCACCTTCTTCTCCTGCCGTCTTGTCTGGGGAACCTACCAGTCAATCCGCGTCTTCGGCGACGTCTACCACCTATACATGAATGGCTATGTCCCACAGCACGACCCCGAGGTGGGCAAACTGTCAGACGACACTTATGTCAACAACGCAGGCTTCAAGAACCATCTTCTTCAATACTCCGTCGGCCAAACTATTCCACTCTGGATCATCTCTGCCTACCTAGCCTCCAACCTTATCCTCAACGGCCTCAACTGGTTCTGGTTCGGCAAGATGATCGAGACACTACGCAAGCGCTTCGACCCACCTATTGGTACAAGGAAAGCACAGCCCAAAGTCGCCGCCGCTCCCGTTGAGATTCCCGAAAACGAAAAGGTCTTGATTGAGGGTATTCACGTCTCTACCCCTGGTGTCGTTGAAAAGGACACTGAAGATTATGTCAATGTAGCGTCTCCCAAGTCGCTTCAGTTTCAGAAGAACAAGAGCGGGACGCACCTGGAAGTCAAGCAGAGCGAGGTTCGCAGTCGAAACCCTTCGCAGAGAGCCGCTCATGCGGCATGAGAATCTCCTTTCCCCCCAGGTTGGTCAAGGCCGGTAAGTATGGAGCGATGATCCCATGGCTTCGGGATATGCACCGGTTTCTTTTTATCCTATTCTTCTTTGTCAGGTGCATCAGTCTTGCATGCTGATCCGTCTAAAATCTCGTCTCCATTTCGTGAATCGTCTAATACACAACCTATTCATTTATCGTTTTCTCCTACTACGTCATGCATCGTCGTTTTCTCCTCCATTTTAACCCTTATTTCTTCACTTGCATGACTCGCTCTGCAATGTCGACCTGACCAGCAGCAAAAATGCCTAGTTATTATGTGTGCTAGCCTCGAATATAGTATACTTACTACGTAGGGCTCCATAGTAACAAGATTGGTGATCCTGCCGAGTTGGTACCGCGCAAGATTGTCAACGTACTTATTTGTCTTAGTTTACGAAGATGCATGATCGTATCTATCCCCTCTTATTCATAAGCAACATCAAAGGTCGTCACACCAATTTTAGCACGAATTGGATCTGCGCAAATATTTGGAAGAGTTGAGTCTGTGGGTACACGGTTCAAGTCATATATACCAAACCCCCCTGGACGTTGTATGGAATCCGCCTTGACGTTCCCTGTAGTCGAAATCGATAGTGAGGGGGCCTAAACATAGTTGATGATTAAGTATTTGCTATAAAGACAATGACCTTGTAGTTGTAGGGTTAAATGATTACGCCACGGTAGTATTTGTATACAAAGACGCATATCAACCCAGGAGTCAGCCTAGTGTATATCATAAAAGAATCAAGAACTATTTCTAGTGCATGTATGTTGGGTTATTAGTGAGAATTATGATGTTAATCTCAGTAACTAGAGCAAGGCAAAACAAAATCCCTCCACTCCGTCAGAATGTCAAGATGTCACATTCTGGCTAAACTGACCCCCATCCTCCTCATTACCCATACGTTCCTTCAAACCACCTCTCCATCTTCAATCTGGCCTCTGTCGATACCCACCATGCAGTGCTTTCACAGACCTGCACTGCCACCCGCACTCTTGCCCTTTCCCTTGGCCCTCTTCCGCTCCTTGGTCTTTCCACCCTTGACCTTCGTCAACTTCGCTGGCACCACACCAGCCCGCTCATACACCATCTCCACGGCGTTCTTCACATCCTCCTCGCAAGGGACAGGCTCTTTGGCCTCGTCCTGGCTCTTCTCTAGACGCAGTGCGATAGCCTCGCACAGCACTTCGCGGGCGAGGCGTGCCTGTCCAAGCGTCATGGACGATATGACTGATAGAGCTGAGATGGTCGAAAGGGATAACGACGATAAAGTCATGTGCGACTTCGTGGCTGGAGTAGTTGCATACTTGGTGATCTGCTTGAGGAACGCATCAAGAGTGATGTCCCATCTTTCCTGGATAAGTGCCTCGTGATCCGTAGTCGGTGCGGCCGCAGTGTCAAGCTCTTGCTGGTTGATGGCCGCGAGATCTTCTCGTACGGCACCACACTCGCGCGTTATGCGGAGCTTGTTTCGGGTCGAAGGCTTGGTCTCTACCAGACTGAGTATGTGGGCAGCCTTCTCGCGGTCCGTGAGGTCCTATGTGGTTGGAAAAAAAAAATGTCGGTTTTAGTATACAAACACCAAATTCGAAATACACACTTACTACTCCTTTTCCATCGTCACCCAGTCTCGACACCTTCAAACTCAAAATATTCAAAAACAGAAAAAAAAATTATCAAAACGCAGAACCAAAAACAGTAAACAGGTACAAAAGAAAAGGAAGTGTGACGAGGGGGTTTTTCTTACCTGCCAGTCCATTCCATACCCATCGACGTCCATGTCAACGTCGTCGCCTTCTTCACCAGCATACATAGCATAGCCATACACTGCATCCGGCAACATGGTTTCCGTGGCGCTGGCAGCGACAAGCACACGCTCGTCATCCTGCAGCGTCTTGCTGGGATCGCTGATAGGTTTCGCGTCGGTGGTGTAGAGTGCTGCGAACTTGAGGTCCAACGCCAGACGCACGCCTTGTAGGACTTGCTCTGGCTTCTGGTACGCGCCGATGACAAAGTTGTCAAGGGTCTTGGAAGTGCTCGGGCAGTGGAGCTGAATGCGACACATTGTTTTGTGAGGTACTTCTATAGTTATTTGAGAGCGTTTGTGCAAGTGTGTGCTGGGTGCGGTTGAGTGCAGAGGCGAGAGAAAGCGGATAGATGCAGTGTTTCTTGCGTTTAGTGTGGGCAAAGAAGTAAGAGAGAGAGAGAGAGAGTTTGTTTGTGATAGAAAGTAAATATACCGCACGAGGCGTGATTTTCTATGTCTCTCTGTGCGTGTGTGAATCTGGATAGTAAAACGAAGTGAAGGTGAAAGTGAAAGACAAGAAAAAAAAAGCCCGCAATCAGGCTCCCACCTTCACTCAACGCCCCCAACAGCGCGGATAAAAAAAGCCTCGCTAAATACCCATTCACTTTGAAACTTCAATCTCAAGACCCTCCTTGAACTCCGCCTCAAGCAATTCATCACCTCCGGCCGTGGTAGGCCTAGCCACATAGCCCGCAATACTAACATCCCATCCTTCATCCTCCGCCGCCGTAAACCAGTTAACCTCTCTCAAGGGGCGCCTCTCAACCTCCTTGCCCTGCTCGTCCCTCACAATCCAGTAAATCCACAGACTCTTTCCGAGCTCATCCTGCTCTTTGCGTGCTTCAATTGTAACAGCAGGCTGCGTCCCATTTACAAACTCGGGCATGGGTACTAGAGACCAATCGGCCCAGATGTCGCAGCCAACAGTCGCGACGAACGGTTTGCCAGTGTAGAATTCGATACCCGTCTTGACCCATTTCGTGGCGTTTTCAGCGACGCCCTCTTTGGTCAGGTGGAGCACGAGACCGGCTTGGTCATATCGGCGGAGTTCATTGGAAGGGGGGAGGGCAAAGCTGATTTTTGCGCGCTGGAACTGCTTGAGGGGGTAGGTGGGGAGAGTGGAGGGATAGAATGCGGCGTTGAAGACATTGGTCGAGGGGGGTTTGCGCCAGATGTCTGTGCCTGCTTGGGCAGAAAGGTTGAAGGGTTCAATGGTTTTGATTGTTGTATTGCCGGACATGGTGGATGTTGCAAGGTGGGTGAACAGAGCAAGGAGTGGTAATGGTGAGATCATTGTAGTTGGGGAATGCTAAGAGGACCAAGGCTGGGCTTTTATACTTGAAGTTACTACACCCGGAGGTGAGGAGAGTAGTACACTGAGGTTTAGTCCATTGTGCGCGATTGGTAGGAAGTCGGAAGGCTTGCTGGTTTACGTACAGCATGTACCAGTATACGAACCGTTTCTTGATGTCGTTACCGGTTTTCGGGTGTGACAACCGGAAATCCGATACTCTTGCCTACCACACGGTACGGTACTGCAGATCTAGGACGGGACAGCGGGATATCCTCGGGCAAAGAAATACCATCATTGACCACGGTGTACAGTACCAGTGCAAATCTGGGATCGGAAAGCGGGGTATCCTCGCGCAAAGAGATGCTATCACGGTCTAATACCACCGGATATTCCTCACCGTTGCACAGCGCAAACGCCTTGCTGTCCAGTCGATAATGACTCAGGAACTAGATGCCCACGTTTTCACCAGATTTGGGAGTGGCTGAAAGGTGGGTTCAGCTGCGCTTACCAAAACAAGCGGCCGATTGCGAGATATGCTTGGCATGTCAATAGTGGCTGATGATACAACAACCAGGGCAAAGGACTCTGAACTCTATTCTGACCCACCAAACATGTGATATCACTCGATATTTTGTGTAATCTAACAACAGTCATCTCTCGCCGTGCCGAGATTTCATATCATTGTGAAGGCAGAAAGTCACTACTAGTCGACAAGTCAACGCTTGGACACGAGTTATTCGAAGGTGCACCGGCCCATTCATTCGTAGGTATTTACAACTCAAACTCGCAAGGTCTTCTATTTCTTCTCTTCTTTCGGTGGCTCTGGCTTGGGTGTTGGCAGTTTGAACTATAATTCTGTTAGGCACTGGCAAGCAACGTTTGGACAGAGGCGCAACTTACGTTCTCCGGCTTGAGATCTTCACCTGGACCAACCTGCTCCCATGCTGATGATCCACCGCGGAAGTTCCTGAACGCCTGCGTCATCTCAAGTGGCTCCACGACAATTCTCTTTTTCTCCTCGTCGTATCGGATCTCAGTGTATCCAGTCATTGGAAAGTCCTTTCGCAGCGGGTGTCCGTCAAAACCATAGTCGGTCATGATTCGCCTCAGATCTGGATGTCCAACAAAGAAGACGCCAAAAAGATCATAGACCTCGCGCTCGTACCAGTTGGCGCCATCGTAGAGATCGCACAGACTAGGTACTGGGGTCGCCTCATCGGCGTATGTCTTGACTCTGATGCGCGAGTTGTGGCGAATACTCAGCATGTTGTACACGACCTCGAATCGCTGATCCTTGGTGGGGTAATCGACAGCAGTAATGTCTGAGATTTGAGTGTATTCGGCCGCGGTGTGGTACTTGAGAAAGGTGAAGGTGGGGATGATACCGGATGGAGGGACATAGATGGTCAATTCATCTTTCCAGACAGAGAATCTGTATCACTGTCAAACACTATCCTCCCATACAAGACGGTATAACGCACTGCTGGACATATTTCGGCAGACATGACATAATGTACTGTCCGTACTTGTGGAGTGCCTCGCCCTTCTCTTTGAGGCTCTCTGTCGGGTTGACAACGGGGGCCTTAAGCTTGCCAACCGTGTCGCGGGGAGCAAACTACAAATGATGTTAGATGAGACCCGATATCTGCTACCATCTACCGGTCCATACCCGCATGTTTGGTGTGTCGGAAGCAGGTCCCGCAACTTCCTTGGGCCGGAGTGCCGTCGAGGCAAAGGTGCGCATCGCATTGCGGGAGCAGCTCGAGGCGCGGACGGCGGCGCCCAATGGCCGGCCTACAGCTAGCCGCATAGCCATGGTTTGCAGAGGTAGTGGTGAGGGACTACGCGATGTGCAGCGGGGAAGGGCGACTTGGGGTGGAGGTATCGACGACGTCGTGAAGTTCACAGCTCAACCCGCGAGACGCATGCTTATGTAAGTAGCGTGGAGCGGAACCTGGTGTGCCATCACGCAGCTGCAGCCTCTTAACCCCCATCACCTCCCGTGGATCCCTCTTACTGCGACTGCGACAATCCGGCCGGCGTTTATTTGTACTTCAGCGATTTCCTTGCAGGCCTTGTGTGCTCGTCACCCCAGGTCTTATCCCACCCCCGCATTCATACTACGACCGCCCTTGGGCACCACCCTTACGCTCTAAACCACACCTTTGCACGATACAGCCACCTTTTGTCATGTCTCGGGCACAGCAGGACCAGTTCGTCGATGACGACGACGAAGAGTGCTGCCCTCTGTGCGTCGAGGAGTTTGACCTGTCCGACAGGAACTTCCGACCATGTCCCTGTGGCTACCAAGTGCGCTTCCCTCGCCAAAACTCGGTGAAGCTGTCCCAAGCCGCCATGCTAACACGCGTGTCAGATATGCCAGTTCTGTTACAACAACATCAAAACAACCATGAACGGCCTTTGCCCCGCCTGCCGCCGCCCCTACGATGACTCCACAATCGAGTGGAAGACCATCTCTCCCGAAGAGTGGGTCCCCTGCTCCTCCCCTCTTTGAATACCCTCTGACATTGGGCAGGATGGCACAGCATAAGCAGCAAATTGCGCAAAAGGCTAAGAAGAATGCGCAGATGCGGCAAAAGGAAGCACAAAAGGCCGAAGCCGACTCGCTTAGCCGGAAGCACCTCTCTGGCCTCCGAGTCGTCCAGAAGAACCTCGTATATGTTACGGGTCTTACGCCAACAATACGTGAAGATGAACTACTCAAGACGCTACGTGGCGAGGACTACTTTGGCCAATATGGCAAGATCCTAAAGATTGTCGTGAGCAAAGCCAAGGAGAATGCACAGCACCAACAGTCGGTTGGTGTCTATGTGACATTTGCTCGCAAGGAAGATGCTGAGAGATGTATCAACGCCGTTGACGGTTCGCAAAACGGCGACAGAGTGCTGAGGTATGCAGCAGCTCCTTCATGCCATGTGTCCTCTAAATAACTGACATATCACAGAGCACAATTTGGTACTACCAAATACTGTTCAGCCTACCTCCGCGGTGAGACTTGCAACAATCGCAACTGTATGTTCCTGCATGAGCCCGGCGAAGACAATGACAGCTTCACCCGCCAAGACCTTTCCATGATGAACTCGATCCAAACGCAACAACCATCGCAATCGTCAACGTCACGAGCCGCACCTCCTGCGCATCATGGGCCTCCCGTAGCCGCTGCAACGCCAATGCATCGACAGGATAGCACGGATACGTCGAGTTCAATACATGACGCACCTGGTCTGCCAGCCACTGCGAATTGGGGTAGCAAAGCTCTACTGGAGCGTCGTGCAAGCCGTTCAACGACCGCTTCCAACAACGCTAGCCCTATGGTCACAAACGCGGTACCAGCACAAGCAGCGAAAGCACCTAAGCCAGTAGAAGCCCCGAAGAAGAAAGGAAAAGAGAAGGAGAAAGAAAAGGAAAAGGAGAAAGAGAAGGACAAGGACAAGGAAAAAGAGAAGGAAAAGGACAAGGACAAGGACAAGGAAAAAGAGAAAGAGAAAGAGAAAGAAAAGGACAAGGACAAGGAAAAGGAAAAGGAGAAAGACAAGGACAAGGAAAAGTCTCCGCAAGCATCAAAGTCGACAACCTCTGAGTCTACCACCGCATCCGCACCCACGGCTATCACACGCCCTTCCAACCCCCGCAATCAGGATTTCCCAGACTTGCTCAAGATCATATGCTCGCCCGACTTCAAGTTTGTGTTCTCCAGTGCAGTTCTTTCCGAGGAAGAGTTGAAGGCTGTGACCGAATTTCCTCAGTTGCTTGATCCAAATGGGGGCGCAAAGCGGCGCGCAATGAAGGAAAAGGAAAAAGAACTTGCTGCATTGCGGGAGGGTGAAGGCGAAGTGAAAGCGGCTGCTCAGCAGCAGGCACCAGCCGCTGAACGAGAGGACAATGAGGCTACTGCGGGGGGTAGCTTACAGTTGGGCGGGGAACCCGAAGATGGACCGGACACAAACACCAACCATCTCGGTCAGCATGCAATCGCACCACCCGGTCAACAGGGCTTTGGCGGGAGCCTATTTGGGCAGAACACACCTTTGACCGAGGACTTTAGTACCCTTGGGTTGAGCAACAGAGGCTTGACGCCACAACAACAGCAGCAGCTACTGCTCTCCAACTTCAAGTCTGGTACTCAATCCACTGGCTTGCTAGGTAACATGCAAAACACGCAGCCCCAGCAGCATGGAATGACTGGAAATGCTTCTGGGCACAACAGGCACACTTCTCGCTTCAGCTTCGCCAACGACAGTGCTTCGGCCTCGGCGAATGTGCAACCTGTGGCGAACCAGAAACTGATGAATCAGCAAAATTCGATGATGCCAAAGAATGCTAGTCAGTTCAATCCAATGTCCCAGCATCAGCCACTGGGCGGACAATTCTTCACCAACGTGCAAGGACCGCCTCCAGGACTGAAGCCTACTGGCACGCCTCCTGTCAGCGGGACTGGTATGTTCGGTCAAGGTCACGGCTTTGCTACTGGTGGCCTTCCCTATGGGACAGGTGCCACTGCAAGGAATAACAGTGACGCGATGTATCAGGATCTGCTCCGCAGCCGCAACATGGATGGTGGTGCTAGGCTAACTGATGCTGGAAAGCGTGAGTCAATGTTTCCTTCTTTCCTTAATCAACACTCCACGACCTCTACACCTGCCCCTGCCCCTGGTCTTCTGAGCTTCCCTTATGGGCCTTCGCCTGGCGCTTACCAGGAATCTGGTTCGCAGAAATCTAAGAAAAAGGGCAAGAAGCACAGGCATGCAAACACCTCTTCTTCTGGAGGAGGTGGCCTTGCTGATGTCCAAGACCCGAGTATCTTGCAGGCAAGGCTGCATCAAGGCGGCATGGCTGGTCAGGGCCTGTATGGCCAAGGTCAAAGCGGATTTTCTTCGCTCTATTCAAACAACAACTACGGCGGCGCTGGGCGATGGTAGTAGTTTTCTTCTTCTACATATTGGTTGGCCAGTTGGCCAGACATACTGTCTTAGTACTTATTGCAACGGTGGCTGCATGGCGTTTTCGGTTTACACGGCGACTGCATCGGCACAGACTCGGTGCTCTGACACTGGCATGCCTGGCGTTTTGATTGGGCTACACGGTCACTGTCAAAATTACTTGACGATGCCACGTCTTTAAGGCATTTTTCTACGCCTTTCACGTTTCCTTTCTCATTTTTTTATATCTTGGTCTTTTGCGCTGTCATGCCGATGCAAAGGTCAGCTGCTCTCGTCGTCTTCGTCATGGCCATCGCATGTACGTAACTACCCCTCCTGCCGCGATCAAGTCGGCATGCTTACTTTCTAATAGAGAGGTGGCTGCACTTTTTTCTTGCCTTGCCAGTGACGAAGATGCTCGAGAGACAACCCTTGTAGCCTGATGTATATTAAATGTTTTGTCAGCACTACTACCTTGACCATCGTCTGGTGGCCGCCGTGGTCACTAAACTCATTTTGGCCTTGCGATTGTTTCGAACCGTGCGAAAATCTATACTGACGCCTCTGTGTAGATGATGTACCACTCAATGCAGAGGAGCAAGCATCCATCAATGTCGATGCGCTGGTCAACGATAGCGACAATGAGCCTATTCGAGCCATGCCAATCACTCCACTTAGCAGTCACTTTCTTGAGTATTCTCGTCGATCCACTCCTACCATTCCACCTGGTTTCACAGCCCCAGCTATTCCAAAAACTGTCATTGAGGAGTCTCGTGCTCGGCCTGCGTCTCGGCCAATGTCTAGGACTGCGTCTTCAAGCATTACACCGGCTGTGCCTGTTGTGCCAGTTACGCCAATACGAACATCAACGCCCAGTAAGGTTGGCAAAAGTAGGCAAAAGGCCGATTCTGCAGAGCCGGCAACACCTACCGCAACCTATGCGGGAACTCCTGCAACCAATACTCAGCCCACGACACCCTCCAAAGCTTCGGCACCCAAGGAAACTGTTGTCTTCCCGCAAACCCCCAAGGAGCCTACACCGAGAGAAGCCTCTAGGAGAGTCGAGAGCGAAGCTGAGACACCCAAGACTGCGCCTGAAACAAGAAAGTCAATGTCAGAGGCAGCTACAAAGGACGTGCCCAAAGCAAAGGGCACTTCTAAGAAGAACCAAGCTCAAGCACAGACAACTCCTAAGAAAGAGCTGCCGAAAGAACCCATACAGACTCCAGTTCCCGCTGTTACCCCGACGTCTTCTACGAAACGACAGCCTCCAGGGAAGCTCGATATCGTAGCGGCGACCAAATTACCAAAGGATGAGGGATCTCCAGCTGCAGGACCGGGCAAAGCAGACTCCCAGACGAAGCATGATCGTTCGGTATCGGTTACAGCAGCCGGTTTGGTGCCTCCGAGTCCTGCTGGCGTGGGAACAGGATCTCCAATTAAGCGTGCGGGACCGCCGAGGACTCTTCGTGTTGTCGCAACACCAAAGACTGAAGTCCCACCACCCCTGTCTGCGACCACAGCACCGCCTCTCCCGCATATTCCGACGGTTGACAAACTTCGATCCAGGCAGGCGAGCATTGCCTCAGTGAACCAGCCAGGAACTCCTGCAAGTGAACTGATATCAGACACTGCTTCAATCACGTCTACATCTTTCTCTCGGGCTAGCTCACCTCCTCCCGTGGTTGGAAAGGTCGGTACCGCACCTGTGAGGAAGAAGACCAAGTCACAAGCCAAGAAAGATCGACAAGAACGCAAAAAGCAGATAGAAGAGGAGCAGCTTGAAGATAATAAGTCAGATGTTGAGGTTGTGCAAGCTCCTATTATTGGTCGTAAGAAGAAGGCAAAGAAGCCATCAACCAACTCGAAGCCTGCAGCGGTGGCAGCTAAGAGTCAACCGGCTTCGCCCAAGCCTGCTACGGTTGAGGACGAGCATGCTGAAGTGCCAACAGCCACGGCTCATAAGGTTCCTTCAGCAAAAGTTTCTGCTGCAGCTACGCCCGAACCAGAGCCGGAACGGGAAGAGTCAAAGGAAAAGCGCGAGCATACTGCACAGTCCATCATGGCTGATCTGCAACGCACTGGTGAATTGATTGCGTCTAATCTTGAATTCTTCAAGCCGCTATCGTCGTCGCTTACTCACATAACCCGCAACACTCAAATGGGCAGCGCTGTTGCGCCTCCGGACTTGAAACTACACTTTTCCGAGGCGGACTTGGAAACGTTGGCTAAGAAGAAACCTCTGCGCCTCAACAGTCAAGAGGGAAAGTCTGAATCAAGGACTCTGATCACGCCAGGCGGGAAATTTTTCTGGGGACTTAGTGAAGAGCTGGAGGCAAAGGCACTTGAGCTTGAAAAGCGGATTGACGAGCTCAAGGGCCCTGGCCGTTTCCATGCTCGGAAACAAACAGCACACAGCCACGGCCTGGCCACGCAGACGAACGATGTCTTACCGGCCATTGCGACAGCACTCAAGGAAGCAGGCAAGAAGCTAAACACTAATGGCGGACAGCAGATGCCGAGACTTGATGTTCCATCTGGACTGTTGGGCTCAACAAACCTTCCTTTGCCCCCAGTACAGGGACAGGATGCATCAGTTGCACAGGCTCCAGTGTCACAGCAACAACAAACACCAGCAGATGCCGGCGGTTATTTAAACCAATACGTGCTTCCCCGCACCGACAACCCACCACCGAACCAGCCACGTCCTGAAATGGCGGCAGTTGGTGGACCACCTGGTGCAGGAACGGCAAACATGTCTGTCAATGCAAATAGATTTGCCAAGGCAGCAAAGGCAGTGGTTGAAGGGGGTGCCGTGGGAAGCACCGAGATTGATGGCATGGGATTCATAGCTGCTGACAAGCTAGGAGGCGTCTTTGTACAGGGTCTTGAAGCACTTGTAGGAGCCGGCCTGGGCTATCAGTCGACCCCAGAAGTGGGTCTTGACAGCAATGGCAACATCATGCTTGGACAAGGCGCGGGCGGATTAGATATGCAGGGGCTGATGAATGCTATTGAGACGACGGCGGGCATGGGTGGATACAGTGGTAGCGCAAGAAGAGGAAGAGGCAGCGTGTTGACCATGGAAGAGGCGGAACAGGCAATGCAGGCAGCAAGAAAGGAGCACGATGTTCTGGAGAAGAAGCTGTCGGCACTAATCAAGAAGAACAGGAAGCTGGCATTGGGAGCAGCAAAATGAGGGCATCGGTTTGGCAAGCAGAGTGGCTAATACGTGGGCCGTAGTATTGTATTACTCCATCGAGCACAGGCAAAAAGCTTATTGTGTAGCGTGATCGTATTAGGCTGGCGATGGTAGCGCTGTGCACCAAAGCCGACTAGAGCAAGCAATGCATTCGTATCAATGGCAACACGTCGAGCAGAATATGTGGTGAAGCTAAGAATAGCCATGTAGAGAGGAAAGGGGTGCAGTAGGAGATGCACCTGACACGAGGCGGCGCGTCAGTGATTCGCCCGGCCAGCTCACCGCCAACGTGGGCGGCATCTCGTCAGGGTCCACCAGCTGGTTCCTGGGACAAGGCCAGATTCTCAATTGCTCTAGCACCACGCCTTTTGTGCCTCTGAACTCTGTGCACAAACAGTCCTTTCTTTTTCTCTCCTCATCTACCCCCGCACACACTGAAGCCCACGCCAAGATGAGTCTCCAGCCGCCATCCCTCGCCATGAGGTCCAAGTCGCCCTCTGGCGGCTCCACAAAGGCCGTCATTCTGGTATAGAGCACCCGCCGCAGAAGTCCAACAGCCATGTATACTCACACGCGCAGGTCGGAGGGCCCTCTCGCGGTACCCGCTTCAGGCCGCTGTCTATGGAACTGCCCAAGGTATGTATACCCCTCTGCCTCTGTCGGCCGCACCCCGCTGATGATCCCACAGCCGCTCTTCCCCGTCGCTGGCCACCCCATAATCGAGCACTGCTTCCGCGCAATCACAAACGTCCCCGATATCAAGGAAGTCTTCATTGTCGGCTACTACGAGGAATCCGTTTTCCAGCCCTTTATCAATGCCGTGTCAACCAACTGGCCCCACCTGAGCGTTAAGTACCTCCGCGAATACCAGGCATTGGGCACTGCTGGAGGTCTCTACCACTTCCGTGATGTCATATTGAAGGGCAAGCCCGAGAAGCTTTTTGTTCTCAACGCAGATGTCTGCTCCTCGTTCCCGCTCGTCGAGATGTTGAAGCTGTTCGAGGACAAGGACGCCGAGGCTGTCATGCTGGGCACCAGAGTCGCAAACGAGGCCGCCTCCAACTTCGGATGCATCGTGTCGGATGCGCACACCAAGCGCGTGCTCCACTACGTCGAGAAGCCCGAGTCGCACATTTCCAACCTGATCAACTGCGGTATCTACCTCTTTGCGACTGAGTGCATCTTCCCCGCCATCCGCAGCGCTATCAAGCGACGGACCGAGCGCCCACGGCTGCTGTCGTACCCCTCCAACGAAAACCTCGAGTCTTCCTTTTACCAGAACGAAGACGACGACGATAGCAAGGAAAACGCTGTCATTCGCCTCGAGCAGGATGTGCTGTCAGATATTGCCGACAGCAGGCAGTTCTTCGTCCTTGAGACCAAGGACTTTTGGCGCCAGATCAAGACTGCGGGCTCTGCCGTCCCCGCCAATGCTCTGTACCTCGCCAAGATGTTCCAGGCGGGATCAGATGAGCTTGCTGCTCCCTCTGCCAACATTCTGCCCCCAGTCTACATTCATCCCTCTGCTCAGATCGACCCAACCGCCAAGATCGGACCCAATGTCTCCATTGGCGCCCGCGTCGTCGTCGGCGCCGGTGTACGTGTGAAGGAGTCCATTGTGCTCGAGGACTCTGAAATCAAGCACGATGCATGTGTGCTGTACACCATTATTGGCTGGAACAGCAAGGTCGGTGCGTGGGCCCGTGTTGAGGGTACACCAACACCCGTCACCAGCCACACTACTAGCGTCATCAAGAACGGTGTCAAGGTTCAGAGCATTACCATCCTTGGCAAGGACTGCGCAGTCGCAGATGAGGTCCGTGTGCAGAACTGTGTCTGTCTGCCATACAAGGAGCTGAAGAGGGTAAGACATATGATCATCAGTATATTGAAGGCTTGGCTAATTCATTTAACAGGACGTCTCCAACGAGGTCATCATGTAAAATGATGTGAGACTTTACAGTACGCTATTGATCAATGATAATGAAGGGACAATGACATGGGGATCTATAGTGAACGATTAGGAAAATAGCACCGCTAGGGGCGTTTGAAAGAGAAATCAATATACCACAATCTATGAGAGATTTCAACCAAAATCCTTTCAGCATCAAAACAGAGGCCAAAAATGTGTGCATATGACTTGCGAGGAGTTATATTGAGTATCTTAGGCTTCTGTCAAGGATGTTCAGGGCTACCCGCGTCTAGACTCGATAGGGTATCGGCGTTTGAACATTGCATCTTGTCACTTTGCCAATACTTACACTCTTCTGCCATGCTTCATGAAAAATTGCGAGGTCAGCTGATACCCAGGACCACATCATCCCATTACTCTGCGCAAAATCAAGGTTACCGTAAAATTTGAACACCAGCAACCTAAAGACTAGCAAAAGGATCTTATCATCAAACTCACCCTCAAACTATCAAACTGCCATTAAACAACACCAACACCAACAACCCCAAAAAAAGAGAAGGGCCCACCATGTCTGACATGCAAGCCGCCCTCCAAAAAGCCCGGCACAAACTTCACAACAGCGACAAACCCTGGACAACATCCCCAAGTCTCACACCCACATCCTCCCCATCCCCACGCTCCACCAACCCCATCTCAACAGCACACTCCTCCGTCCTCCCAAAAATCGACATATCCCCCTTCCTCAACCCCGCCTCGCCACCCTCTTCCCGCCTCAAAACAGCCCAAGCCATCAACGCGGCCTGCACAACCTACGGCTTCTTCTACCTGACCGGCCACGGCATCCCCCAAGCGCAACTCGACTCGGTCATCTCTCTCACGCAGCAATTCTTCGCCCTGCCGCTAGACGAGAAAGCCAAGATTGAGCGCTTCGACGCAGGGAGCCCGCAAGGCGGCGACGGCGCACGGGGTTACCAGCGCCTGTGTACTGACGATGACCGCGGCGACGGGTTGCAGGATCTACAGGAAGCTGTGGATTTCTACGCCGAGTGGCCCGACGAGTTGCGCGAGGAGGGCGATGGCGGGCCAGGCAGTGTGAAGAGTCTCCAGGGCAGGAATTTGTGGCCCGAGCAGCCGAGGGGGTTGCGGGCCGCGTATGAAGAGTATATTGCGAGGGTGAGTGGAGTGGGGGAGGCGCTGGTGAGGGCAATGGGGGAGGCGCTGGAGTTGGAGGGCGAGGAGGAGAGGGGGGTTATTGAGGGCGCGTGTAAGGGCTCGTTTTGGGTGGTGAGGATGATTGGGTATCCGCCTTTGCCTTCTCCTCCTGCTTCTACTACTACTACCCGGCTGATGAGGGGGGAGGAAGAGGAGCAGCAACAGTTTTCTTGTGGCGCACACACGGATTATGGGTGTGTTACTCTTCTCCTCTCTGACGACACGCCCAATGCGCTGCAAATTCAACTCAAAGACGGGACGTGGCTCAATGCTGATCCTGTGCCTGGCGCATTCGTGGTTAACATTGGGGACATGATTGAGCGGTGGACGAATGGGCTGTGGAAGAGTACATTGCACCGGGTTATTCATCGCACGGGGGATAGGTATAGGATTAGTGTTCCATTCTTTTACGAGCCGAATTTCTACGCAGAGGTTGCGCCGTTGGAGACGTGTGTGAAGAGGACGGGGGGCAAGAGGGTGTACGAGAGTAGTGTGTATGGGGAGCATTTGTTGACCAAGGTGTTTAGTAATTTTTATTATAGTAAGAGGACGGATTGGTGAGTACGGCCTTGTTTGTTACATACATTAAATGATAAAGAGACTTTTAGATGCCACCCTTGAGATAGTAATCCAGAGGATATCCCAACCAAGCACACTGCTCTACATCCTGGTATCCAACGCTCTCGCTCGGCCAGTCCAAGAATCGGATTTCATCCCCATCCTTGCTTGTTGCATCGACGGCTTTCCATGCGCCGAATTTCTTCGCGCCTTCAACCTCCTTCTCGTATCCCCGCACGTCCAAGTAGCTCAAACTGGGATTCGGGTCGCTGTTCCGGATGAACGAGGCAAAGTATCCAGTGGTAAGCTGCTCGCTCCACAGGTCCTTGGAGTCGCGGATGGTTGTAAGTGTGCCGAATACCCAGGCAGTTTCCGAGCCATGGATACGAAAGTAAGGGTTCTCTGGGTTGTTGTTGGCAGGCCCGCCGAGGCCGTCGGGATCATAACCGCCACTCGTGCGCTCGAATTGGTAGAAGTAGGCTTTTTCAAAGGCGTGGGAGCGGGAGCCAGAGTACACGGTGGATTGGTCAATGCATCGGAACATCTTGTCTGTTGTGATGCGCTGGGAGACGTTGAACGAGTCCAGTGTCAGGTTGCCTGTGTTGATTAGGGGGAAAAGACCAGAATCGATGACACGCTGGGCCCATGTGCTGTTGATACTGAGGGCTTCTTGGAGACCCTGGCTGTGGTTTGAGATGGGGGTTTTGGGGTAATTAGTAAACGAGGCACCGTCGTTGCGGGTCACGCCAAACATGACGGGAATGTGCGCGGTACTGGCGTTGCGAGTTGTGAGGATGAGGTTGGACGTGTCGACGTAGGTTCCATCCTGAACGACATAGCGTGCGACCGTATTGAAGCCAACTATATTTGCTGCGTCGGTTGTTTTGAGACACGCAATCTGAGCAGACAAGTCGGTGCTGTTGCAGCCCGCTGCCGCAAAGATCTGCTGACCTGCTTTCTCATAACTTTCCTCGATAGTGAGGTAGGTTGAGTATGTTGTCCCGTAATCACCATCGAGGCCCAATGTCTTGCCTCCTCCAAGGTTGGACATGGCAATGGCACCTTGAAACTTGCCAATGGCTTTTGGTGAACCGAGATGCACACGCACTGAACCGGCGCCTGCAGAGCCACCAGCGATGGTGATTTTCTTGGGATCACCTCCAAAAGAGGCAATGTTGGCAATGACCCATTCTAGTGCCACTTGTTGGTCCTGAATACCAAAGTTTCCCTTGATATCCGTTCCTGGGATGGCAAGGAATCCAAGCGTAGAGAGACGGTAGTTGATAGTGACAACAACCAGATCTTCTTTACTCGCCAAGTTTCCACCGTCGGTAAGCGGGTCCGAACCGACTCCTCCTGTGAATCCTCCACCGTGAATCCAGAAAAGAACCGGTCGAAGGTTTTTCTTGGATCCGGATTTGGGAATGTATGGCGTCTGGATACCCAAAAACAGACAATCCTCGCTTCCACCACCACTCTGAATACACTGTGACCCGTGCTGGGTAGCTTGAATAGTCTGGCCCTTCTTGGAGTAGATAGAAGAGTACTGGAAGCGCTTTGGTGTATCGGCATATGGGATGCCCAGGAACCGGAAAGACTTTTGGTTGCGGTACCCAACGAACGTGTTGCCTCCTGATGCTACCGAGACACTGCTGCCCTCGACAAATCCAGCGTTTCGCGAGCCATTGTTGAAGGATTGAGTACACAAAACTGGCAGTTGTTTGCGAGGAGCTGAGGAGGACAAATAGCTCACGTGGTCGCCCACGGAAACGACACCGTTTTCGATGTAGTAGCCCTGCTCGGCGTCGCTGTATTTGGCATAGTCTTGGTATGAGAGGGCATCATTAAAGTCGTCCTGATGCTGCTCAAGAGCAGCTCGAGTGATGAGCTTCTCGTTCAAGGAAGCGCAAGCTGCCGCTGCACTAGCTTGGGGAACCGGGTCAAGGACAATGGCGCCGATGTGGTTCTTGTCGTCTGATCCATTGAGGTTGTTCTGATAGACGAGTGTCAAAGAAGATTTTGCATTTGACACGCCAGCGGTAGCATTTGACTGAACTACTGGAGAAGCCTGAGAGACAGCTGCCAAACCAGCCGCAGCAGCGGCAACAAAGGTGGCTAGTACAGTCATGTTGAATGTCAACGAGGAGACTTGATCGACAGCTGGAGTATTGTCCTCGTGCATCTTGGCCTTCTTATACAACCCCGGCAGCCCGGATGTCGTTAGGGTCGTAATTTATCAACCGTAGCGCCGGTGCTAGGCAGTGGCTCTGTGCAAGAGGCTATTCAAATCAAGCCTTTGAACGCCGGTTTACCCCAGGAACCGATAGGTAGATCGATGTCTAGGCAGGGGCACTGGCAAAATACTAGTTAGTACAGGTGGGCACCGTTACGGGCATGCTCGATTCTAGCGCTATGCCCGTCTCGACACGTGTGACGAAGCCATGATGGATTTCTGCATGCAGCATGTGGTTTGGAGGATATCCCAGCTGGTTCTCATGCAACGGACAAAAGGGTTTTGTGTCTTTGAAGTCGGAGGTGCCATTGTCGCTGTCAACCGAATTCCAACAGTGATGTGCAGACCGCGATCTAGGTCAAGGCGGTAGTATTTAGCCGTTTAGCCAGCATATACGGCGGTTCAAGGAGTGCTCCGTAGACTAAGAGGCGTTACAAGGGTCGGAGTGGAGGTAGTCGCGATCTATTCGCGGGGTTTAGGTTTTCGGGGTGGGAAAAAAGCAGAAGTGGATATGTCATGGGGTAATGGCCGGGTACAATGCGGGGAGTCGACCACAACGGAGATTTGCCGACCACTTGTCTTCGTCCGAGGTGCAGCGCAGACATGCACACTTCTCTCTTAATCCGTGGGGATGAAGCAGTGTCCACACCGCGCTTTGGATAAGAAATCACCGTACTGTCTATCATAAACCAGTTCGTATGGGAAACTTAACCAAAACTGGGGATGTTCTTTTTTTACAAATCCCTTCTCAAACACCAGTCGCGTGATGTTTATTGCAATGTCTACTAGGCGTTGCGGGTGTGTGCGAACTGTGTACATGGAAGCTGGCACGCAACTCGAGTCTTGTGTGCAGCTTGCACACGATTTTGGAACTGAGATGGCAGCATGGGATTTGGGCTATGGTAGTGATGTGATGTTGTAGGACATCGCCTGGTAGGATTCGCAGATGGATCTTGTCTATCGTAGTGGGTCAAGTTAGGCAGATCGGCAGCTGCAACACTGTGGCACAGTAAATGCTTATCTGGAACACGAGAACCCGAGTTCGAGCTTCACATCCTGCACTGTGTCAGCACGAATCAAGAAAACACAAATCTCATAACCTTTTTTGAACCCTCAAAAAAAAGCAACAAGCGTTTCTTTGCTCAACGCACCTCAGCGTAAACGCGGTAGACAACGATCATTGTATTATTCATTACGTAGCTGAGATTGAACTGGGCCGTAGCCGGCATCATGTTTCTTGTTTGTTGAACAAGCAAATAGCTATTCCACAGCCTTAAAGCTTGGAGACGCAATACGTGTTCGCATGAAGACAGCAGGTGTCCGCATACAGGGGTTATCCAGGTCTGGGGAGACTAGGGTAAGTTTGATAGGAGGCTGTAGCAAAATAGACATGATGTGGAGTCATCGCTCAAACACGAACATGTTAACATTATCTATGCGAACATGTTAGTATCCCGTACGCAGATTGCCCTAGCTTATGTATCTCAGAGTTAACAAAATCGTAAAGTACATTTGTTGCATTATGGGATTACAAGCGCTCGTTCAGACCGATGCAAGGCACTTGAGGCCCAGCCATGGTTGTTTCAATGAAAAAAAAACAAGACGGAGACTAGTGGCTAGTAATACATATAAATACGTGTGCTGTCTGAGAAATTGATCGCCATAGTAACATGTTATGGTAGCCATTGAGGGAAAAAGCAGTCGTGAAGTCACATGTCAGCACGGCCCGAATGATGAGCGTATAGACACTACTACACATGTATACTTTTGCATCTTCGCATCTTATACCTCATACGCATGATTACTCTATGCAGGTTTGCGCATTTTTTCCTTCGTTATTCCCGCAAACTTAGTGCGCAAGAGTAGCACAACACACTGAATATCCTTGTCCAAGCGCCACAGGCTGTAACACCTCCGCACCGCTATTCGTCCCCGTTTAGTCGTCACGGTGGAGCCGCGGAAGGCCGGAGCAGAGACTCGGAATACGGGGGGGCTACGTTTCCGACGTCTTGACGTTGGCGCTGGAGAGGACGGCTACTATACGCTCCAATGAGAGCAGTTACCATCCAAAAGGGAGATTGGGTACAAATTAGCAGGATGCCTAACTGCGGAGACACGAGGCTGAGCGCGTGCAGAGCCGTAGAGGGATAACAGTAGATGGTGGCCTGAAGGCAACACATAATCATTGCTGACCTCCCAAGGCTGGCGAAGGCGTCTCAAATGAGCACAAAGGGGACGTTTAATGTCGATGATGGTGTGGCGGTTGCTAGGTAGGCTCGTATCCCTGGCAGTGCTCCACAAGAAATTACGCGCTATGAATGGGCCTGACACACGCACAAGCTCAATGGCCATGAAGGGTATCCGACATAGCCGATGCTGCGGACGAAGAGGCAATGCAGGAAAGACAACAGTGGTGCTGACGGCTGGAAAGGCGGGCACACCACTGTCAGGAAGTGGCAGGTCACTAGTAGGTTGTCATAAATAGAGCAGGCTAATAGGGGATCGCCAGGGCTCCGCGACTCCAGCCACACCAAAGTGGCTCCTCCACGCAGACCAACGTACGGGATGAGGTCAGACCAGTCTCCTAGCGCTTCCTGCGCTTCCATCCGTTTGAAGCGACCCACGGTCGTCCGTGGTGGGATTGCAGCATTTAACATGGCCGTCTGCCACATGCCCGGACGTGCACACTTCAGTCATTCTACTGACCCCCTTAGCACCTTGGCACTGAGTGTCTTTTGATACTACCAGCATGCGGTCTTCTTCTCTGCTGTCGGCTTCGGCACTAGCCAGCCTAGCGACCTGTAGGCGACACCCCCAAACCCCCCACGAACCGCTACTGACGCAGGCACAGCATCTGCCCTGGGCCCTCGCGATGCCAGAGTCGCGCCTCCAACAAGCGCTGTAGAATCATGGAAGCGCGCCGCCCCACAAGCCCCCAATGGCTATGCTCCCGCCCAAGTTACCTGTCCCTCGACACGCCCCAGCATTCGGTCTGCCGATGGGCTCTCCAACGCCGAGACAGAATGGCTCAAGAAGAGAAGGCCAAACACCATAGAGCCCATGCGTGCCTTCTTGCAAAGGGTGAACATCCAAGGATTCGACGTGGGCACATACCTTGATACCCATCGCGACAACACCACGGCCCTGCCAAACATTGCAATCTCCTTCTCCGGCGGCGGATACCGTGCCTTGCTCAATGGCGCAGGTGCTTTGGCAGCATTCGACAACCGAACCTCCGGCTCGACAAATGCCGGTCACCTGGGAGGCTTGTTGCAGGCGGCTACCTACGTCTCAGCCTTGTCTGGTGGCGGATGGCTAGTTGGAAGCATTTACGCCAACAACTTCACTTCGGTAGAGGATATCACCAAAGAGGGCGAGAACACTCCTATCTGGCAGTTCCAGAACTCGCTTTTCACGGGACCCCCCTCAACGGGCATCCAGGTGCTTTCAACTGCTCAATATTTCGAAAACCTAGTCAGCACTGTCGACGACAAGGCCGACTCGCCAGCCGGTAGATTCAACACCTCTATTACTGATCTTTATGGTCGAGGCCTCTCATTTCAGCTCATCAACGCAACTGATGGAGCACCTGGTATGTCCGCAAGTGCACCATCCTATGCTCTACGCTAACTCCTCTAGCCTATACCTTCTCTTCTATTCAAGATGACCCCGGGTTCTCATCTGGAAACACCCCCATGCCTATCCTCATAGCTGACGAACGAGCACCTGGAGACTTGATCATTTCCCTCAACGCTACCGTCTTTGAGTTCAACCCTTTCGAAATGGGCTCCTTTGATCCCACAACATTCGGATTCGCCCCGCTCAAGTACATTGGTTCGAATTTCAGCCAAGGACAGCTTCCCCAGAACCAAGGCTGTGTTGCCGGATTCGATAATCTCGGGTTTGTCATGGGAACGAGCAGTTCATTGTTCAATCAGATTTTCCTCACTTTGAACAGTGTCCAAAATATACCCGATATTCTCAGGAGTCTCGCAAATAGTATTCTAGGAAGGATTGGACGCGACTCAAACGATATCGCAGATTACACGCCTAACCCTTTTTACCAATATCATAACGACACAAACCCTAGCGCCTCTAGCCAGCGCCTTACGCTTGTAGATGGCGGCGAAGATCTCCAGAACATTCCTCTCAACCCAGTCATTCAACCCGTGCGCCAGGTTGATGTCATTTTTGCTGTCGACTCGTCTGCCGATACTGTTGTGGAGAGCAACCCTTCCCAAAATTGGCCCAATGGCACTGCTCTTATTGCCACCTACGAGCGTGCGGAAACGCCAATCATGAACAAGACATCTTTCCCTTACATCCCAGGTCACGATACATTCGTAGCCCTTGGCCTGAACAACCGACCTACCTTCTTTGGATGTAACAGCAAGAATGTCACACAGGGGGACAACATTCCTCCTCTCATCGTGTACCTTCCCAACGCTCCTTACTCCTTCTGGTCCAACACGTCAACATTTGAGAAGCTCTCGTATACCCTTGAAGAACGCGCCGGTATGATCAAAAATGGTTACGAGGTTGTGACCCAGGCAAACGGAACACGTGAGGGTGCCAACAACTGGCCTACTTGCGTTGGATGCGCTATTCTTTCCAGGAGTTTGGAGCGCAACGGCCAAGCTGTTCCAGAGGTGTGTAATCAGTGCTTCCAACAATACTGCTGGAATGGCACCACGGTTACCAGCCCGGCGGAATACAATCCGAAGATGATCATTCCAGGAGCCAATGCCACACAGAACAGCGGTATGGGCACGTTTGTGCCCAACCTCTTTGGCCTTGCTCTGGTAGCTGCTGGGTCTATCTACATGATGATGTAGGCTTTTGTTTTCTATCCTTGTACTTGTTGGATGACATATTTGCGGCGGTTTAGACCTTGCATGTTTCTTAGCGTTAGAAGCACATGATACCTCTTTCCCATTATATAGCAATCTAGCCTTTGATTTGTATTCTGCGATGTGTTTGCTGCCGGTCCCCCTATTGTAATTGAACGCATCAACACTGGAGCTTTTATTGCGGCTCGTCGGCAGCCCTGTCCGTCCCTGCATTAGAGGCCCGCGGCGTATGTATGCATGCCCCGCCATCCCACTTAGCAAAGGGAAAAAAGTCATGACCCCGCCACACTTCTCTACGCAAACCAACCACAATATACGTACCCAACCAGCAAACATACACCATGGCCGTCCCAGCGCTCGAGGGTGCGCCTGTACTCTCGACACCCGATACACACATCTTCGAAGACCCGACGCCGGCTGTGGATCCCTCGAATCTGCCTCGATTATCAGACGAGCAGGTTGTGCTCACGTACGAGATTGAACGCACAGTGCGAGAAATACGAGAAGGAAAATGGAAGAGAATTGCCCTGCAGTTTCCAGATCATATGCTCGGCGATGCACCGAGAGTATATGATCATTTGACTCGAGGGCTGAAGAAGGAGCGGAAAGGGCAGAGTAGTAGCGAACGAGAAAAGAGTAGGCAGCCGCTGAATGACACAACAGCGCCAACTGTTGAAGAAGAATTGGCTACGGATATGAACAAAGCCAGGTTACAAGATAGCGGAGGCGTTGTCGAGGAAAAACTGTTTATACTGGGAGATACCTCATATGGCGCGTGCTGTGTAGACGAAGTGGCTGCAGAGCATGTCGACGCAGATGTAGTCGTGCACTACGGCCGCTCATGTCTATCGCCGCCATCAAGACTACCAGTCATTTACGTTTTCACCGAGCGGGAACTCGACATCGACGCCACTATCGCAACGTTCAAGGAGACCTACCAAGAAAAGGACCAAAAAGTAGTTCTCATGGCGGACATACCGTACTCGCACCACATCCCACGTCTATACCAACACCTCCACGAAGACGGATACACGAATCTCCACGCTACAGAAATCGTACACAAGCCATCTTCGCCCCTGCCCAACCGAACCGTCCCACAAGAAGTACAAGAAAAAGGCAACGACGCCCTCCGCGACTACGCCCTCTTCCACATCTCCGACCCACCTACATCTCTCCTCCTCGCCCTCTCCTCCCGCGTATCCTCAATCCACATCTATCCCACTACCGAACCAGCCAGCTCCGCCTCCCTAGCCAGCACATCAAAAACACTAAACAGACGCTACGCTCTCATAACTTCCCTCTCTACAACCCCCATCTTCGGCATCCTCATCAACACGCTCTCTGTGAAAAACTACATGCACATCCTCTCGCACGTCCAACAGCAAATCGCCGCCGCAGGCAAAAAGTCGTATACCTTTGTCGTGGGCAAGGTCAACGCGGCCAAAGTAGCAAACTTCAGCGAGGTAGGCGGCTGGGTCGTCATCGGGTGCTGGGAGAGCAGTTTAATCGAGAGCAGAGATTTCTGGCGCCCCATGATTACGCCGTGGGAGCTGGGTGTTGCGCTCAAGGGCGATGCCGAGCGCGTGTGGACGGGGGCTTGGGAGCCGGATTTTCAGAAAGTGCTGGATGAGGATGTCAAGAAGGAACAGAGACAGACGATAAGCGGCGCAGGTCAGGAGGTAGAAGGCGAGGAAGCGGGAAATGAGGATCCAGACTATGATTCGGAAGACGAGTCTCAGCCCCCGGAGTTTGATCTTCGGACTGGTCAGTATGTCTCGCATGCGAGGCCTATGCGGTCTGCTGCGGCGAGGAATACGGCGAAGGCGGTTGCGAATGGTGATGGCGCGCTTTCGGCTAGTTCTGCTCTGGCAAAACGCGCGAATGGCGATGTTGCGGCTGTAGGTGGTGTGGCGTCGCCGGGTGCAGAGTATCTGCGATCGAATCGCACATGGCAGGGCTTGGGTAGCGATTATCAGAATGGGGAGGATGGAGAAGAAGGTGTGGGGAGTGCGAGGGCGGCGAAGATGGAAGAGGGGAGAAGTGGAATTGCAAGAGGGTATGTTGTTGGCGATGAGGGAAGGATACATTGACGAAAAGAAGGAGGTTGAAAATGTTTTTTTTGATGTAAAAGTTGGCATTCTTGTGTATGTACATTCTTCCTTCATGTGGGCCCACCGACGAAAAAACAAAACGTTGTTTAACTTCTTCACATTGTTCATGACACATTATCATCTTACATCATTACCATCATCGTTGTCGTTGTTATTTCCGATACCACATGCCTGGTAACTAATACTGCTTCATCGCATGCCGAGGACAACCCGAGCCCAAGCAGTTTCCACGTCCTCCACTAACGTGAGAAACTCGTCGCTCTCAAGATGGCGGAAGATGAACTCATTGAGTGCCGCTCTACGGGCTTCGTCAGATTGCATCGTATATGCCGCTAGGCGCTCGACATCATTAGCTCTGACTGTAGTACCGCTGGCAATCGATGCAGTCGAGATACGATGGCTAGCTTCTGATCCTGCAGGTGTAGTAAGTGGACGATGAAAAGGTCCTGGAACTGATCCTTGTGTGTTTCTCGCCTCAGTACCTGACGTACTGTGGTTCTGTAGCAATATCGAATCAGGGGAATTCGAATTTGTGAAAGATAGCGGAGAAGACAACGAAGACGATAATGCTGTAAGTGACGGTACATTCGCGAAATAGTTATTTGGGGATGTCTTTGCACGTTGAAATGAGTTCTGGTCCTGGTTCGGTGCACCGGGGGGTTGCTGGATTGGCTGCTTTCCACGGCCAACCTTGTCAATCACAGTAGGCTGTGGCAGAGGAGGAAGCTCGATATCCTTACTGTTTGCGCTACGACTGGATCCGGGTCGTTGGGCAGCTGAACGTGGCAGAGCAGGAGGGCCCATCAACCCGGTGGATGGTCTACTATCAGGAGCCCGCCCACTGTCACTTCCCGATGATCTTGGCTCTGATAGGCGTTGGAAAGGGAGTTCTCGTCGCGGCGGTAGCATTTCAGCGGTGCCTGGGCGGTTGAAAAGCATTGCAGTCTCTGGGCGCTCAGTAGATGCTTGCAGAGGCTCTTCTATAGTGGAGCTAGAGTGATCTGAGAAGGGAGAGACATCTTTCCAACTACGACTCAGAATATCAGCGGTAGCAGACTGAGGCCGAGGGAAAAGTACTGGTGGATTCAGTGGATTGGAGAAAGAAGTTGGAGTAAGAGTATCTCCTCGGTCAGAGCTTGGAGCAGCAGGCGACAGACGAGCGTTAGCAATTGCGTGTATGTGAGGCTCGAAATTTGTAGATGCATTGGCGGCCGTTTGAGGTCGGTTGGAGATTTCTGCTAAGCGCGATGGAGGGCAGGTCAGTCCACTTCCTAGGCTGGCACTGCTCATAGATTTCTCAGAAAAAGTAGTAGATTTCAGAACTGGTCCAGAGGATGTTGAAGATACTTGTAATGGACTAGGAGATGGAGCTGTTATGGACGATGCAGTGTTGTGCCCATTCATGTGGAGGCCGATTTGACGAAGGCGATTGAATGCTGTGTCAAAGTCTCTTTCGGACTTGAACCTGATTTGGATACGACGAACCTGTACTCCTTGTCAGAGCTGCAGGAATTAAATTAGCCCTTTTTGTACCTTTTGGTTGGGCAATCGCCATCGAATAGCAAGCAATGGGCTGCGAACGATAGCGGAGGTTGGCAGCTGTTCCGCCTGCATTTGCACTCCATGATCTTGCATTTGACGAACCAATTGCTCCCCTTCCTTTACGAGTCGCTCTATCTCTATCAGATGCTGTATTTAAGAAATTAGTAAATGTGTTGAACACATGCGGTCATTAGGTCCATGATGAACAGGCATCAGGCTTGTCTCGTACCCGAACCTGCGTTCCCTGAACCACTTTTATGAGCTGAGCATTATCACGCCCACCATAGCTGTCAATCACGAAAGTGAGGTCGTGTGTTTCTTTTTGCCAGTTGAACTTTTGCTGCTTGGCATCCGCGTCTTGAGCCGTGGACAAACTCGTAAGCGGAAGGGAGAGCATGCCGGTTAGTAGTATGTAGCTGTTCGTCAGTTAGAGATGAATTAGTCCTTCAAGAGATGAAAGAATTGATGATCAAAGCTCGTTTCTAGCCATATGCTGTCCCTAGGTCATAGACATGTGGTTGTGAGAAGGCGTGCAATGCATCGAGGAAGTCGCGATTGGGGCATGGTCACATGACCTTGGCGCTAGATGAACGCGGTGCATTCTGGAGTTCTGGTGTTCGCTCATCCATCATCGCGACCGAACGCGCGCCGCGCATTCACCAGCAGATCCACCATTGCGCATGTCGCACCGTTCAAGCCACGCATGTATCCCGATCCGTGCGTCCGTAGTCTCCAGTGAATGCGACAGCCGCAACATGGCCCCAAACAAAACAGAGGAAACCTCCGTCGAGCCCACCCAAGAACGGGAAGACTTTCTGGATACCTTGGCCGAATACCACGAAAAGCGCGGGTGCGTCATCTTACCTGTTGTCTTGCACCCAGCGCACACATATTGACTAGACGTGTAGTACTGTGCTGGATCGCGAGCCGAAGATCGGTAATCGACACATTGACCTTTTGCGCCTCTACAAACGCGTGAATGAGGAAGGAGGATACGACAAGGTTTCTGATACCAAGAACAACAAGCTTGCGTGGCGGAGAATCGCCTCTGAATTTCTCCCCAAGAGCCCCAGCATAACAACCCAGGCTTTTCTGGTCAAGACTGTCTACTACAAGAACCTTGCGTATGTCCAGGCCTCGCGCCTCACCTTGCGGTTCATCCCGGCTGACATATAAAATAGTGCATACGAAATATCCACAGTCCACAAGCGCGAACCCCCACCACCTGAAATCCTCGAGAACGTGTCCGCCAAGGGTGGGGACTTGCTGAACCGTACTGTAGAGAACTTCCACCCGCCTAGTAGTAGGGAAGCCGAGCGGCTAAGGGGAGAGGAGGAATCAGACGAAGAAGACGACATGGAGAAGACACCCAAAGAAGACAAGATGGAAGTCGACGATTCCACCAACCTTGGGCGGTCGACGCGCTCCCTCCGCCATGCGCCGCCTCAGCGAGTGCTGTTCCAGCCTGAAGCCTCGACTCGCCAGACTCGCCAATCCACGGGCCACCTGAACTCGTCGCAAGCCAACGGATATGGGACAAGTGGAGCCGCCATGACAATTGCGAATTATGAGCCACGAACAGCCGTGCCAGCCACCATGAAGCCCGTCGTAACTCCGTCAAACTCCCTCGATACATACGTACAATCACGCAAGAAGTACATCCTTAACAAGAAGAACAGGCCAGTCCCACTCAAAGGCATGATGCTACCCGGTACCGGCTTTCCTGGACCCAGCATTTACATTCGCGCTCTCAATGCGCTACGGTCAAAGGAACCCGAGGAGGAGGCATATGCTCTTCACCATTTGGTCAAGATCTCCCATGAGCGAGGCGACAAGTATCGCTTCGATCAATTCCCAGGACTTGCAGAAGCACTCATAGCCAAAGTCATCGATGTGGGCGCGCTCTTTTACGACGTGAGTTGGGACATTTGTTACCTCGAAGAGGAATTCAGCAACCCGCAGACCCTAAATGGATTATCTGGCACCCCCGACCTGCTTGAGCGCATTTCTGCTCTCCGCACGCTCGACATCCATGACAGTCTCCTACCTGAACAGACGGCAAAGTCGCTCAACATGATCAATGAGGCCGCACTGATTATCCGGAACATGGTTATGCTGAAGGAAAATGCATTGTTTGCCGCTCTCGTACCGTCCATTCAGGATATGACCGTCATTGCCCTCAATCTACCCGCCCATCCGTCTGTAGTAGAGCTGCAGCATTACGCCCTTGAAATTACCGAGCAGTTGACGAAGTACTGGATGCTGGACTCTCAAAGCCCGCTCTACCGTTCTCTGCTAGCGCAAATCGACACGGATGACCGTGGTCGGATTATTACCTCTTTGAGAGCACTTGCACGAATATCTATGAACCTTGATGTCACAAACAAGCTCTCGAAAGTACCGACAAAGACTCTGAAGTCAATATGCGACTGGCTGCTAGTAGAAGACGAAGATCTCCGCATAGCCTGCCTAGACTTCCTCTACCTGTTCACTGGTTTCCCAGATAATGTTGAGACACTCGTACATGAAGTCGATATTGAAGGTGTTATCAAGCAACTGGTGCGACTGCTGCAGTATGGTGCAATTGCTTATGAGGAACGTAGGAGCACCCCAAAGACTACCAAATCATCTGCACCACCAGAAAACACACCAAAGCTGTCATCCGCCATTATCGATCATCTAGTCACTCTTGACGAACCAGAGAGAAGCTCACAATGGCTTAAGACGTGTTTTGAAGAAGACCCTACGGGCGAAATCACACAGATTCAACTTTGGTCAGCATACAACGCTGCTTTCTCAGAGCACATGGCACATAATCCAGCCTCTTTTAAGGCTCTCATGCCTGCAAAAGATTTCATCACAAACGTGTCGACTACGTTTGGTGGTGCATCTGCTCAAGTTTTGACTGTAGGTGGGCAACCAAAGTACACCATAAGAGGTATACGGCCACGCTCCGTACCAGTCGATCCGAGCACCAAGCGGCCATATATGCGCTGCTGCTGGCATCCACCGAGCTTGTTGAACGGCCACACGGATAGCAAACACTCCACATCTAACGTCGAATGCGGTGAGTTTGCGTCCGGTGCGAGATCTATGTGGGAACACGTCGTCAGTGTGCATCTCCAAGTTCCTCGTGATCAGGAGACAGGTCAGTGGCTGCTTGAGCCCAAGCCTGACATCGACATGAAAAACGGAGACGCGGTTTCAGCAAGTCCACCTTCTAAGTACTTTTGTCACTGGGGTGGTTGTACGCGCTTCTCTCCCAATGGTACAGAATCTGCGTTTGAAGCTGGACAGCATCTGAAGACGCATCTGCCAGACACAAGCATCAAGCATGCTATTCATGCAAAGCACAACCGGACACCATCAGAATCTCGGCCCATGACTTCTTCTTCACAGATGCGATACGAAAGCCTCCAGCCGCAATTCGGACAGCCCGTGGGACTGGGCGGCTTAGGCATGAGCGGTCAACCCAACTCCGTCAGCAGAAACGGCATGGGCAGGGAGGATTCGTCAGGCCTACACTCAGCCCCAAACTTCCGATATTACAACACCGCCACCGACGAAACCAACGATGCCGCCGGTCTTCCTCTATCCTCTGTGCTCGTCCTCCGCAATCTCGCCCGTCAGCTCAACAAGATCCCACCGCCGACCTCCGTCACGGAGATTACATTACCATCATCTCCAAACCACAAGCGCGCATTTAGTGCTAGCGAAGGCAGTCCTGAAGCTGCGAGACGAGCTACGACGAGCGGTAAGAAGCCGCGTCTCAACGATGCAGCGTCCGAGCAAAGACGCGAGAATGAAGAGAGGGAAGAACAAGAAGCGAAGAATGCAGGATGGGTCCCGCGCATGTTTACTCCGTTGAGAGATCAGATTGCCTTTACGGCTAGCCATAATCTTACGCTGAGGAATTACATTGGCGGGCTGCTGAAGGCTATTGCTGAAGGTGGAGGTTGATCCTGTTTATCACATCCCTTACTAAAAAGAAAGTAGCTATCTTTTGGCGTTCTGATGGAGGGGATTGATGTGTTACTGTGTCGAGCAAAGCGTTTCAAATGGGTGTGTGTTTGGAGTTTCTGTCTTTATGTAGAGCAGGGCTTGTATGCCTTATGGGAGGCTATATTTTTCTCTAAAGGTATTTTTTTGCAAGTGACTTGGGCAATGGAAAGAGTGCTAGTCAGATGTTTTCTCTGTCGACCGAGTCTTATGCTTCGTTACTTACGGCTCTCATATCCTGTGGTGATGTTGGCCGCTTCTTCGAGAAACTTGGAGTCACAATGCTTTCCGATGGCTGTTTGTCAAGTGAAGGAAAAACAGGCCCGATACTATGACTACGCTATGACTATGGAATCGAATGATTTAAGCACAAAAATCAGATTCTCATTTCAGAACATGAGAGCTCATTCCCCATATCTATCAAAAGCCCTCCTTCTCTTCGAAATGCCTTCTCATCTCATACACCGACATGAAAGGAATAACAAAGATAGGGTGAACAGGCTTCACTACATCACCCTCATCCCATACAATCTTTTGATCCCCGGCATATCGTCCTTGCGACTTCCAATGATAAGGGGCCCCGTAATTCCCAGTACCCAAATTCTTGTTCACATTCTCATCATACACGTACTGGTGCTGTGCAGCGCTGAGCCCAGCAAGGTTGTAGCACGTGTGGTACGCATCAGAATGCTTCCCAGGCTTATCTTTGAGACCACCTTTCTTCTCCTGGCACGCAGCCAGGATGTAGCGGCCCAGTGCAGCGCGGTTCCACAGACCGGTGGTGGTTGCCGCTTCGACGATGGACCAGCAGCCGCCGACCCAGTGCGAGTAGCAGCCATCCACCAGCTTGTTTGTGCGGCCGTTGTACCCGCACTCAGGCGAGCACTGACGCGACGAGAGCCAGCGGGTCAATAAATCGACGTCGAGATACTTGTGTAGAGTTTCCTTTGGTGGGCCGAGGATGGCGAGGCAGCCTAGGCCGCAGAAGGCGTAGGCGCCGTGGGCCTCGTTGCCGGGGGCGGCTGAGATGCCTCCGTCCCAGGATTGGCATTGGGAAACCCATTCGCCCAACCTGTCGGTGAAATTGGTCAGGCCGTGTTGCCGTGTGGGGGCGTCAGGCGGGAGCTCGAGCGGGAGGTTGGTGAGGGAGAGGATGACCATGGCGCAGAAAGCGCCCCGGATGTCTTCTTCACCGCCTTGACACATTGTGAAGCCTCCGTCTGCTTGCTTCATACGCCCGAGAAAATGCCATAGCGATTTGCGGTTGATAGTGTTGTAGGCTTCGTCTCCTCCGGCCATGGCGATGGAGAGCGTCGCCGCATATGTGCATGCAAGGTGTGCATATTGACCATAGCCGCCTCCAAACCCGCCATCGGGATGTTGGGCTAGTGAGAAGGTATGTGCTACCCTGTATGTAGTCAGAGGCCAGGATTCAATATATCGGTTGTCATGTCCAGTGCATAAGTAGACACAGGATCAAGATGGCCAACCCACCTTTTCTGGTAATCGGAAATGTCAAGCCCTAGTGCAGTCATGCTCTGAGTGGCCCAGTACACAATCCACGGCCGGGCAGCATCCATGGCAGCCGCTTGTGCCGGGTAGTCACCAATAATCCTCTTCAGCATGACCTCGTGCCTGTCCCTTTGGAGTTTCGGAATACCAAAGGCATTGAGAGGAAAATCATTCGGGTTACCCTCGAGGTATGGTAGGATAACTGCGGATGTCTCATCCTCTACTTTGGTTGATTCGGTGACCAGAGAATCCTTGATCGGTATTCTGATACTTTCCAGGTATGCAATGTTTGCCTGCTCTTCTGCAGTGGCGGTACCCATGTCTTCGTACTCGCTGTCGAGCTCTTCGTCTGAGAGTTCTTCAATCCGCTTAGACTCGGGAACGATTTCCTCCAAGCGGGATGAGGGCTCTTGTGCAGAGAAACGTAAAGGAAGCGCCATCCTTTTACATGCGCCTATAGACCTATGGATCTGGTAGGTCCGTTGTTAGGGTTTGTGTGAGTGGCTGTCGGGAACAATGGCTTTGCTGGCCAGGAACGCTTAGTATTGTTCGAGTGCGGATGTAGCCACCCCACCAGTTGGAGGGAAGATTTCACGGTCTGTGTTGGTGTGCAAACCCCATGGTTCGACTGTGGTCAAGGATTGCCCTTCTCGAATGTCGCATGTCGAGAAGAAAAGGTGGAGCACGTGGGGAGTAATCAGATTGGATAGTACTAGCTAGCTTGGCACTCCAGACTCGAAGCGCAGCCCATATCGATACCGATAGCAATATATCCGCGATTCCTTATCCAAGCCCCATATCCTAATTTCAACTTCACGCGTACAACAAAGCTGCTAATCTTAATCAGAAGGCCGCACGCCCGCCATACCAGCCAACTCCTCTCCGACCGTCTCACCTCCAAGCTTCAATGGCTGACACTCCTGTAATACAAAAAGCATCCTACACCACTCAGTCGGGCTATGGTTGATCCATTGGTGCATGGTCCCGCGCTGAATCGCGACATCTCCCCGCTTCATGAAGCGCTTCTCGCCGCTATCAAGTAGACATTCGATCTCCCCCTCGAGTACGCAACCGTAGTCCAAGCTCACGGTCCGGTGCATTGTGCATTCCGTGGCGGGAGGAATATCAACGTGTCGTAAGACTGTCCCACCAGAGACTACAAGTCCTGGCGCGTCATGGAGGTAGTCGCCGTATACGCCAAGGTCTTTGTCCTTGTTCATGTCGACAGGGAAGCCTTTGGTTGTGTAGCTGAGGGCGAATGCGATACCGTCGGAGTTGGGCTTCATCTTGCTCTCATCGTCAAAGGCGCTGCTAAAGATGGCTTTGCCTTCGTCGTTGTGGCTGGTGATATAGCGATGGATCTTGGGCAGCGCGCCGACGTGTGCCATATTATGCTTTTTCGTGGAACTTAAGGTGATGAAATGCTTGTTGCTTCTCTGATACAACGCAAAGCAAACTCAGGCTGATTATCTGAATTTGTGGAGGACAAGCGTCTCTTGATTACTCATTGCTATGTTTCTCATTCTTGTTTAAATGCTTCAGACTTTGTCCGCATTAATCGGGACATGGGGGATGCGCGTGGAGCCGAAGGCCGACTGTGCTCTGTGTAACTTACCCCCCAATACTCCGAAATCTACGGAAGACGGGTAACCTCTCTTGTATTTGCGATTACTTTCAATCATTTTTCCTCCGTTCCGCCCTTCAGACTCTGTCTTTAAAAGGCTTTGTCTTTAACCATCTGATCACAACGTACGTGTGGGACATCGACACCTGTTGCGTTCTCGGTAAAGCCAGCTACACGCAGTGCTTCGCGGACTCGATACGGATTCAGCTCCTCCAATTGGATACACGTAATATAGACTTTTCACCAGTAGCCAGCCTTGCTTCGCTTTTGAGAACTGCTGAGAACATTGGTTCGCTACTACCCCGCAACGACGAAATGTGCGGGGCGCACTGCCCGAAGGTGCGTAACGCACAAAGCATGTTATGTGGCGCAATAGCACATTTGTACCGAGAAACTGGAGTCGGGGACTCCATGTAAGGTGCATAGCGAAATTGGTAGAGCAGATGGTACTTCTTTGGTCAACTTGGGAAGAATCACCACTCTCGCCTCCATCTGTTGTCGGGCCATCTTGTTGGCATCTGGTGAAGTTATTGTAACACAAACAAACTGAATATGATTTGCAATCCGGTAGGCATCGGTACTTTGCTAATCTGCAGTAATAAAGGAGGTGTCGTATGTTAATTGACTGCTTACAGTGTGTGATTATAGAGTGAATAAGACAGATCTTGTCTCGGCATGGTTGAGTGGGAAGGACCCTCCAGTTCACCATCAACACCTTCCAGTCATCAACGGGGCAAGCCAGATTTGTCATCCCTGATCACTAGTTACCGATTTGCTCTCCACAAATCTCAAGCACACCCCTTTCGTGCAACCCCTTACGTCTGAGCCTATCAGCTACTGTCTTCTTTCTTCTTTCCCAACGCTACAAGAACATGAGTTGCCCACAAGGTCTCACAACCACCAACCATCGCAGCTTGTAATCTTACAACCGTGACAAGTCATGCAAGAAGCAATGAGATGCAGCGCTGACTTGTTTCGATTTACCGAAGCTGAATGTGCCCAGGACCGTTGGTAGGATCTATCTTACATGCAGTGCAGCGCAGCGCAGCGCAGTGCAACGCTATCTCCACCAAATCGCCATAGTCGGTCCTCCGAACCGAGCCAAACAAGGGTCAAACCCACCCAATTTCAACGCAGCTAGCTTGCGTTATACAAATCCGGACTGGCAACTGTTCTCGTCTGTTCTAAAGCACCTAGATATGTATGTACATACATACCACTCTATATTCACTGCTACGTGGGATAACGAGGAACGTCAGCAAGCCCCACACGACGCCACCAACTATCCTGGATCAGCGCTGCAAGATGTGTTATCCAGTATGCCTCAGGCACAAAACCCGATTTTGAGTTCTGTTCTAAAGGCCTAGAAACGATTGCGACAGAATAGCGAAGTGTCAACAACAAGCCCTAGTACCGTCAGACAGTCGCGAAACTAAGTGTATGACAGATACAGCGAGGAGAGTTTGGACGGAGATTTACCGGCATGGTACAGCAAGGGTGATACCAAGGTAGTACACGGACAAGTGCAAATGAGGATCGCTATTTGTTCTGGCTGTCGCTGGGTTAGCGGCGATATGCCGGCGGAGCATGACGGATGACACAATTGCTGAAACGGCGGCAATAATCGATAGGTTGGCTGCAAGACATTAGGGCCAAAATAACAGGCCTGGAAGCGATGTTACGCAGAGGAGACTTGACAGCATGCAGAAGATACTAGAGCAGTAACGAGCGGCTGCAAGCACGAGGGCCGCCGGCCGGGAAGTGGGCTCAGCGCGCGGAGGTTAGCATGGCATGGCGGCCATACATAGCTCGCCTCGCAGCAGAG